CCAACATTACAAAAGTGTCTTTTGGAATATCGGTTCTCATATTTGTTGGTCTTCTAGAAGCATCAAATACTTAGTTTTTGAATATGTCAAGGATGGCGTTTTTTCCCTAGAAGCATAATACTTAGTTTTGAATATGTCAGGATGGCGTTTTCTTCCATTTCTGTCACATCTTTTTCCAGCAACAATCAAACTTCCTCCTTGCAACTGTTGCTTGTCACCAGCTGAAATATTGAATAAAACTTGAGTTAGTGTTTCTGAGAATAGTCATCAATACCAACTAGATCGAAAAGTATCAAACTTTTTGAATTATTTATCAAACTACAGATCTTTTTCTGTTAAACATAACACAAGTCATTCTAACATAACAATTATGTATTGTAGCTATCAAATATAATATAGATGAGATCCGTAGTTATATTCATGAATATGATTTCTGCCATCAAATGGATCTCAACAGCATATATAGAACTCAAATTAAATTTTGACAACTGTTCCTTTCTTTTAAAGAAAATTCTAAATAATATCATCAAGTAGGGTTTGTTTTACTGTTAACATGATTATTATATTTTGTGAAAAGTTTGTGTTTTTTTAGCTCTACTTGTTGAATTTTCTTTATACTGTGAAATCAGATATTTTTGCAAGGCTAAAATTTTTGTGAATATATGATTAAATTTAGGGTTCACCATGTTGAATGTTTTGTGAAAATCAAAGTGGAGGACAATAGTTATTGCAATTAGGTAATACTTACATGATGATAATTTATTGAATTTGCAAATGTAGTAAAAATTAAACACAGAAAGGTAGAATCACATTTCTTTTTTTAAAAAAATCAATTCAAATGTATATAAAGCTATGATACTGTGAAATGTCTATTTTTTTCTATTCACATATCGGCTTTACTTGGCATCTGGATCACCAGACTTTCACAAAAGTGTTTTACGCCATCAACTGTGGCTGTACAGTAGTCACACCTGTACAGATTTTCTCATGACAAGGCTTTTATATTCTAAATAATTCTGAGATTCCTCTTTTGAGCACACAACCTAACACTGTGTTGTAATTGTGCTGTAGTGTGTAAAAATACTTACCTTTCTTCAGAAGGTCTTCAAGACTGCTTGCAAGTACAGATATTCTCTTCTGCCTTGTAGTGTAGTACCTCCAAAAATTTGTTACTCATTAGCCATACTAGTTGTTAAATATGTAATTATGAGAAGAAACTTGTAGCGTAACATGTAGATCTGACAGTACCCAAAATTACATTTTATTGAAGTACCTGTATTGATTTATCCATAATGACTGTTCTTCCATTTACAGATATGCAAGACAGGGGCAAAAACAAACTTGAGATCTTGATATTTTTTAGCAACTGTCTTTGTATCTGAACATTTTACAAAGTAAGAGTCAATATGTTCATCACATTCTATAACCACAACTTGCACAAGAGAGTAAAAACAAAAAAATTCTGGTAGAAATCTAGTCAATGACTAAAATCAACAACCCAGTGTTTTTCCTTATATAACTGATACCGGAAACGGCACCGTTCCCAATAGAAAATAGACAGCAAATTTTCCAATTCATGACTGATAAATTCCAAATTTAACACTGAAAATTTCCTCTAAAAACAGTAATGCATGCCTCGGAGCCTTCCGTATTGATATGTGATATACGATAAAAACTAAGTAAAACCACATGAGTGATATTCGTACCCAGTTCATTTCGTACTTTATGTTTCACACCTACTAAACATTTTTTATGTACAATTGTTATGATTATCAATTTTTTTTTTCAACCTCAAGCAGCAAAAATAATCTTTAAAGTTAATAATAGATGATTTTAAAGTGTATAGTTCTGCAAAATTTTCATCACCTCCCTGGATAAAAGAAATTCCCAATAAATATTTTGCATCTAAAATAAAATTCCCAATTAAAGTCAAACCGATGGATTTTTTCCCAATCTGTCCGGTACCGTTAACTGTACCAGCACCATTCCCAAAGTAGGGGAAAAACACTTTGACTTTCTGATATTAATTGAATAATTTATATTCAAACATTATATATATATATAAGCGTTTCTTTACTTGACAACATGTTCTCAATTATCCAATCAAAACACGTTGAATGTAACATGATATGGTTTCTGTTTTCTAGCTATGTTGTTTAAAAGTTTTTATTCAGTATGTTTTTGTTTTGCTGTCCTAAATAAAGTTTAAGTGTAGTTAAAAATTATTTTTAAAGTATTCCCTATATAAAATTAATGTTAACTTAGCCTCAATAATCAATCGAAATTAATGGAATTAAGAATCAAATCCAGAGAAAGCTGAATAGTTGCACCCTGACAAAGGAACATTTATTATAAATGTGTGATAATAATATAGAACTATATATGTTTATTTGTCTTTTCATTCTAAAAGTTTCTAAAATATTGAAAATAAAGAAATTTAGGGGGTGGGGGTTTATAGGAAATTTCAATCAAAAAGGTTTATACAGTTACTGTTAAATGACAATTATTTACACCTGCCCGGCCCATCGTGCTTCCATTACAGGGATATAAAATAACAGGGACCCAGTCGCAATGGTCCTAACTTTTGGGTAGGGCCCCAGCTTTCTAGAAGAAATGCCTAAATAACTAATGTAAAATAGTCTGGGCCCTAGATAAAAAATTGTTTATTTATATACCTGCATTATCAGACAGGTATAAACATAGTCAATCCCATAGCTGATCATTGGACATCATGCGCCATTTCCTACATCACTAAATGTAAATAAGATTTTACTTCAATTTGTTGTTAGAAAGTGTGTGTGGACAGAAATACTCCTGCCCTGGTGGACCAGTTGAAAGACAAATTTAAATTATTTTAATCCTTAACAAGGAAAAAACGATACAACTCAAAACTACCCCAAAGTGATTTGAATACAAATCCGTGAAAAAGAACACCAACAGTTTTAGTAATTTTTTACACAAACAGAAATAACTGACCAATCTAATCACGTAACGTAAACAGCATTCCCCACCCACCTGTTTCAATTCGTCTATCGAAGCGAAAATGGACTATATAGTACATAAAACCTAACCATTCACCTGTAAAATCGTTAAAAATATTAACAAATCTATTTAAGCAACTGTTGTACATATCTGTTATGGAAGAAACAACAAAAATGATGCAAACAATTTCTGGCTGTTTTTGTCGTCTGATCTACAATGTGCTACATCGCCAGGCGCTTTACGGAGATATCAATCGAAGCGTACTCTTTACACGCAAGCATCTGGCTGCTCTGATTCGAATTTATTTATTATTAAATATTTTATGTAATTGAATTCATCATAATTTGTTTCTGGATCTAGATATTTTAATATGGGGATTGTACAAAAATAATTCTAATTATAAAAAAAAATTAATCAATGCTAAGGGGAAGTAACCGCTGTCAGATTAAACCTTAGTGTAAACCTTAGTGTTTTCGGCCGAAACACGTGTTTTCAGATTTCCGGATGACAAGTATAAACGAATTTTCCGACACAAATGATGTTTTTGTCTCATTATTTTTTTACATGTGGCCTATTCACAACACTTGCGTGACTTCAACTCATTCAATAATGTAAAATTATTTAATTATATATTCTAGGTTGTCCTGTGAAAAACACCACCGTTTTCTGGGCATCGAGCGGAAAACATGAATAAAACATATGTGTTTTCACTGAAACGTATACAAAACATAAGCATTTTATATGAAAACGTCAGTGTTTTTGTGTGAAACACTGGTAAAACACGTGTAGTGTTCTCAAAATTTACAGTGTGCGATCCAAGATATTTGAAATCTTTACATGGATCAGCGTCTTTCTATTTGAAAGATCCTACATGTATAAACTTAGGCACTTGTAAACGGGGTATTATGTAAAGGATTATAAAAAAAAGTATGCAAAATATCTAATTGATAGACTTTTAATGTGATTTTTGGTCTGGTTTTATTTTTTATTTATTTGTTTATTTATTTATTTATTTTTTTTTTTTTTTTTTTGCTTATGTTTTTGCAATTTTTCAAAATAAAAATGACCATAATTGCACAATCAAAAATTTGCCCATCAATAATTGGTAAAGACCTGCTTCAAATAATACAGAAATCTCGAACTCATCATGCCGAAAAAACTGAACCCATCCCAGTTGAGTGCCTTTTACATAATGCTATAACTGGATAAACTATAATGGCCAGTCATTAATTTTTTTCTGGGTGATTATGTAATTTAAAGGAAGCTGATAATGACTGTTGTGTCTGTCACTGGCTTTCGTACATTTAGTATGTGGGCGTATAATTTCATTTAATTGAGCGAGAAAGTGTCTACCGTGAGATTAAATCTATCTGATGTGATTTTGGACCAACTCAGTAAAAAAAAATTTGAGCATTCTTTCGTGATCGCACGCTAGAAAAGTTTACTAAATTGAAAAACATTATAACATAATGTTAACTGTATTCGACCTTGAAATAGAATATGATTTGGTTGATAAAAACATTTATGTAATTGCGCACGATACTTGTGTTCTAGACCACTTTAAACAGGATACATTTTTAAACAGATACTCGACTGTTGTAGATAGCGGAGGTTTTTTGTTATGGCAGAAATATTACTATGACTTGTAACGTTACTATAATTATAGCCTACGACAAACCTGGACAGTTTCCTCTGGAATTGTATGAAAGTAGAAGATTAATCCAATAATGCCTAACATATGAACATTTTTCTGTCATGATAAGTGCTCTAAAAATAATAATCCGGCAAATACCGGGAAAAGGATAGCGAAAAGTCCGTAAATTTACCGGAAGTCAGAGTAAAACCAAAAGCCTACGGCCGAAAAACAGATAAGTTTAAAACACTTGTTACGATATATATTAATCATACTGTCATCATTATTATGTTGTCATATTGTTGGATTAATGTCTCACTTTCATTTCCTTATACGTTGTAGAATTAAATTAAGATACTTGTTTTGTCTATATAATTTTGTCTAGGTATTTCAGAACCAAGAGGAAGATTTCAGAACTATTCCAACATGGAAAATCAAGCCAGGGGACGTATTTATTTGCGCTTACCCAAAAGCAGGTACTATATAAACACATCTTGTGCAGATTTTCTTTATATTACACTCTCTGAATAAATCATAGACGCATTTCATTGATAGAAAGTCAAGTTTTAAATCATAAGCAATCTGATATAGCAGTTATTATTAAAGCAGGAATTGTGTAGTTTGTATGATTATTGGATATATGTAATATTACCGCAAAAATACTATGTAGCATAGAATTGAACAATGTTTTGATATTGCGCATCATTTTACCAATATGTTTACTGAAAGAATAGCTTTTTTCTCTATGATAAACAATTCCAAACATCCTTAATTAAAACTATTGTGTATACTTATTTGGCAATTTTCTCACAAATGAACTTTACTATGTACTTCGAACTTTACTATGTTCTTCGAAATATAACAAGTGTTTTCATTCACAGTGAAACTTTTTGAGGTATTTTAAGGAAAGCAAAAATGATAAAATTTGGGGGGGGGACGACCTTTCAGTAAATCATTTACACATTAATTGTTTCGAAAACAGTCATATTATCTCTTTGAAGTGCGCAAAATGAAATGTTTGTATCTTGCAGGCACCCATTGGTTGTGGGAAATTACGTCAATGTTGGTGAACCAATCAGCGGACAGAGTGAAATTGATTAAGGAGACGTCCATGTTAGAGGGTGTAACACAGACCATGTTTGACAATGTTGCTAGTCCTCGAGTTCTAAACACACATCTACCACTTAGACTTCTGCCAAAAGACATACTGAAAATGAATTCTAAAATTATTTTTGTTCAACGAAATCCAAAAGATATTTGTGTGTCATTTTATAATCATCATAAGAAAATAATAGAGTATGATTACGATGGGAAATTCGAGAACTACGTGAAGAGATTTTTAAATGGTTTAGGTAAGACGCCGCTTAATTATCATATTTCACTTCTTTCTATGCCCGAGTTTTTATAGCCAATCATATAGTTCTATGGCCAAATATTTTACATGCCTGGCAAACTATGCAAAGATATGTGTTTCTGTAAATGATCTATTATCGCTATTGTTGTGGTATACGCCGCACTCTTAACAATAAGTGTACAATGCCTGTTACATTTATGTATATTTCGGTTTATTTACTGTTGCATTTCGGTTGCCAATACCTTGCGTTATTTTCATAGTAATGCATTGTACAACATTTGCCACTTTCCTTGAAGCGGCTTTTCTACTTTTACATGCCCGGTGTAAAGCACCGATACATAACTTCGGTTTTTATGGTCTCATCCGAAAGACCATTAGTGGTGGGGAGAGGTATCAAACATGCAATCACTTAATTACAAGGTCAAAAGAGATGTTCCCCCACCCGAACACCCCCCCCCCCCCAAAAAAAAATAATAATAAAAATAAAAATTAGGAAGCAAAAAAGGTCGCTGGAGCACCGATCTATGTGATCCCGGTAAAAATGTTTCCGATTAATATCATTGTTATTGGCTGAGCTGTCTCAACTCAGTTTATTTTGTGTATGTGTTTCAGTGGACTATGGATCGTGGTTTGACTATACATTGGACTGGGAGAAAGTAATCAACGATAATCCTGGATATCCTTTCCATGTGATGAGTTATGAAGATATGAAAACAGTATGTATCTATTCTTGTACATGTATTATATATTACCATCTCTTTACATAAACTTTGATCATTTCTTTCATAAGTTCATAACACAATGTATTTAAAATAAGCTCCTAAATAAGGAATTAAAATTTTTGTAATGAACTTAACTTGAAATATAATTTCATGATATCACTATTTCTTCTTCTTTTTATTGATTCATCGGATTTATCAATGTTAAACTATCAATTGACAATAATGTCTGAATTGTTTATCTTAATTAGGACAGCATTGGCGAGATAACAAAAATCAGCGAGTTTCTTGGTCTTAAAAGCGACCCTAAACTTATTTCTGAAATAGCGGAAAAGTGTGACTTTAGTAACATGAAAAAGGAAAAGGATCCATTAGAAAATGCGTCTGAATGGAAAGATGGGAAACCAGGAATGTACCGAAAAGGTAAATAAATAAATAAATAACGAAATGAATTATACATATTTTGTTCTGTAAAATAGTTGTATCGTGTCGTTAAAATGAAAGATATTCATTTTTACACAGATAATTTCTGATAGCGGTTAATCAATTTAAGACTTTGAATTAAACTTTCTGACCTAAATTTCCGGTGAGTTATGCTACGCAAAACATCTTAAATTGACTTGTCTATGTTTCAATCTGTCGTATTTTTGGAAATTACAAAATATGTACTGACAGTACAACGAATAGTGCAGTCCATTACCTGTCGGCATAGATGTGCCGACTAATCTTGGTCAGCACTGGTCGCATGGGGGAGATTCTTCGACCGACAATAGCCTAAGGGTTAACGCTTCATTAGATGTGCTGACTAAATAGCGAACAGTGTAGACCACGGAAAAGCCGGCTGATCTTGGTCTGCACTGAACTCTAACAATGTTCGGGTGACAGCGAAATTACTTAAAACACATGTTATTCAGATCACATTAAATTGTAAATATTATACTTCAGTTGAATACCTTTAAAGATTAAGGAATTGCAAATTTGGAACGACCGATGGGAAATTGACTTTTGTTTTAATGCTGACTTTTTTGACATTTTCCAAAATGTACGTACAATGTTTCTGCTAAACGGAGATGCAATTTTTTTTTATTATTATTATTTCCTTTTAAAGGCACATTATGTCTAAGGAATACTTTTTATTTTTCTTTCGAAAAGACGAACATGTTTATAATAATGTGTTACTTCTGGATTTAAATCACATTAGGTGCACATAACGAGAAGACAAGAAGCACCCCGCCGTAGATCGTTGAACATCTCAAACCCTTTCTTCATAAACAGATAAGCAAAACGCTAAAAACAAAGTGGTATCTTGACTGCCATACAAAATACTCATCACTGTTACTGTAGTAATTCCAAGGATCAGGTGGTTCAGCTATATTTTCATTGAGTATTTAACTTTTCTACAAATTACAACAGAAAACCAAAACATAAAAAATGTTTGAAAATGAAAGTAACCGCATTTTTAGGGTATAATAGTCCTTTAAGGTAAAGATTTAATTGCCATCTAGGGAACACTAGCTTGCTGTTTAATATTTATCTGTGAATTAGTACTAGTAATTGATCGAATATTTAAATCATTTCAGGTCAGATTGGAGACTGGAAAAACTGGTTTACGGTAGCACAAAATGAACACTTTGATGCTGTTTATGAGGAAAAAATGAAAGAGACTTCCTTCACATACAGATACAGTTAATATGTGATGATATTCTTTAACAACTGAAAAGATACTTAGTTTTAGAACGTAATATATTACCACCAGAACAAACAGCTGGGACCTATTTTACAAGCAGAAAATTTATTTGTGTTAAGTATGGAAATATATTTTTATCATTTTTTCATTTGTATTTTAGAAATAAATAAACCGCCTATGATTTTGTCTTTTACTTGGTGAACTTGAGGTTTATATTATTGCGAAAGAAGAAAAGAAGTGAGTCAGAAAACATATCGTAACTGAGGTTTAGACTGGAGAAACGGTACAAACCGTGCTAAAAATCAAATATTTCAAATTATTATAATTATAAGATAAACCTTGAGCGATGCATGAATAATACTCTTAAATCCCATACTTCTGTAATATAACAAACTAATATACATGTAGTACAAATCTACTTTTTCCTGTACCCTTTACCACTATTCAAGAGTTCAAAGTGTGATTTCTGAAAGATTTTTATTCTTGCATCATTGAAAAAAATCATAACAAAGAGGTGTTCTTTTTCAATATCGAACAATTGATTAATTGAGATACTCCAGTCAACTAATGCAATCTTTCCGTGTTTCATAAAATAATAACTTCAACCATACATCTTATCTTGATTTTTTTCTTCAAATTTTCACACTTATTCATTGAACTTGGACATTATATGTAAAAGTTCCGACAACTCTTAAACAAAACGAATCCTTACTAAATTTATCAGGTTTTTTGTAGAATACGAGTAGAACAACGTGCGTTTTCATAACAAAATGGTTTTTTAAAGGAACATAAAGTTCTTTACAAAATGGTACATATAAGGAAAATCAAAATACTTTAGTACTAATAGAAGACTATTTTTGAATTTTGCATGTTAATTTATCAATTCTTTAAAGTGTGATGAATTTGTGTGAGTGAAGTGCTGCTAAAAAGTATCACTGTTCGGCTTTGTGCCCAACATCTCATAGTGACTACATGTCATGTTGCGCTATTGGTACTTTTCTGGTTTCAAAACACTTCGTAGTGGTTACTTACCTTGATCGTTACTGTAACCACAGTATATAAACGATTTGTACCTAAACCGGATCTTGTGAGAAGATCTCAACATCAGTTCTGTACAAACAGGTGGGGTGACCCATAAAACTTTTTAAGACGGCTTGCATTTAATCTGTGTTGGTATGTAAACATTTGAATCATATTAAGAAATATTTTTTTCTTTGCTTATAGATACATCTTTAACCAGCTTCTTTAAATTTATGCGCATAAAACGATGTGCTCTTCGCTTCGTGTTTTGTTTATGTCAACACACGCCGATTACACAAGCAAATTTATGCCTAAAATTGTTTTATTTCACTATAACTCATATCTGAATCTTAACTTTATTGTCTTACCTCGTGTTACCGCACAGACACTTGTGTAGATATCTTTGAATATTGATAAAAACATAGAAAATAATAGAGGCGAACATTCTGATAACTGTACCCATTTTGCTAAAACAATTTTAATGATCTGTACCCTACTTGTGTTTTCATTGAACCATAACTTGCGAGTCACCTTTGATGATTTTTATTGTTTTTGTCCTATGTTCCAAATTATATCTTGCAGAATATGAAGATTTTGTGTCACAAGAGCATGGCACATCTTTTAATTCTATATAAGTAACCAATACTGCACATGAATAGACCTTCATCATATTTTCACTTTCCATGGTAATACCAGCATGATGTAGCTGGTAATACCAATAAGGAAGAAAAAATTATTTCTTGACAGAATTTATATCAACCAACAAATCTTATCTTCATATATAACATAAGTACTATAAACGTTTCTACTATTAAGTTCAACGGCTTTGTTGTTGATTTTGACGTGACCGTTGTATAACGTCACATATCAATCCATTCTCCTCGAAAGATCATCACAGGATTTTTTTGGCAGATTACTTACTAGTATTTCAACATGTTGAAAGCTTTACACCTACCGTTGATTTCAATACGCTTTTTGAAACACGGTTTCATATTCTCATAAATGTCCTGACTTTCTTTTTCTGACATGCACGACTAGGGTCACTCTTAATAAATCATTTTAAGGAGTTTCCTGCATATTGTTGTTAAATGTCTATAAGGTAGTTTTCACATTTGCAAGTTTATTTCCACTTATTTTTAAATAGTTTACAGCCAGTGTCTAAGATAACTTGTTAGTTTCTTTTCACACAACTAAAAAAGTTTATCATTGGCTATAATAAGTTAAAAGATATATATAAATCCAGTTCCTTTCTAAATTGCCATATCCATGTATTTCAGATGGATTTTGATGGATCATTTGTAGTTGAGGGTCTTGACAGTAGCTTTCGTGTTGAAAACACAACATAAATGTGGGATCTGTGGAATAAGTTGACACGAAGTTTAAACTTAAACTCTTCGTTCGTCACGTATCTTTTGTTGATGTGTGAACATCTTTAACAGGCGTTTTGATTTTTTGACATTTCTTGATTGGAGATTATTTTTCATGTCCTTCTTGTCTTGAAACTTTTAAGTACTATTTTTGTAATATCATTTGCTTTTAAAGTCCATTTTAATTTTTTCAGTTCTTTTGGAATAATTCTAAAGTCTTTTGAGTATAATTTCAATGTTTCTGTTATTGTTGTCAAACTGAGAAATTGTTATTTTTAAGCTTTTGTTCTGATGTCCAAATTATGAACAATAGTGTTTCCGAATTTTGATAGGAAAGTGGACAATGAAGACAACTGAATTCTTCCATTTTGCCTGTCAATAAACAAATAAATACGTTAAATGCTCCATTAAATCTTTAAAAATACTCACAAGTCAGGTTACAGATAAAATTCGTAAACTCACAAGTAGGGTTCACAATCACCAGCAAGTAACGTTCAGTTTACTGAATTGACCTCCTTGGTTAAACTCTTAATTTGATGTTCAAAATACAGCAATATTCTTTGCAGATGACTAAATTATCGTTTGTTATTGATTATTTTAATAGTTCGATATCACAATTCAATGTTTAACTAAATAAACGTTGAAATAAGACAGAGTTTTGCTACTGTTCAGTGTTGATCACCTGAAAGCAGTTCGTGAGTTTCGATTATTCTATAGCTTTAATGCTAACATTTATATTTTGCATAACATAAACCCTTAATAAAATTTCCCTTCTATGATATAAATATAGATTTACTAACCTAACGTCCATAAGTATCAATATAAATACCAATATATTAAACAAGTTAAGCGTCAGAAAATGGCTGACACTGACATCTTCTCACAAGATCCGGTTGAGGTTCAAATCGTTTATATATTGTGGTAACAGTAAATGTAGAAGAAAAGTTGGCGATTTATTTTAGATTATACGGTGTATACCAAAATAAAACAGAAATAAAGTCTGATGAAAATAAAAAGCGGACTCTTGTCAATAGACCCTGACTGGGCTTGCCTGACTATCTTGCCTCTTTAAATAAAGGTTTTACTATTATATTAATAATAATAATAATAATAATATTATTATTATTATTATTATTATTATTATTTTTATCAATAGGTTGGTTTTTTTATGTGTCATCAATATATTATATGTATCTTAACATACTAACGGGATTTACCCGGTTTTTAATTTATAACATTTTACGTCAGTGAAACAACACTAAGTACAAGTTTGTTTGCTGTATAGAGGTTATGTACTACAATATATTAAAATATATTTTAACCTAACATTTTTGTGTTTTCGTGTTTTATATCTTGTAATGTTATACAATACCGTAAACATCAATTATATTTCCAGCCCTACGGCAAGATACGAATTATATATTCTAATACGCCACAATGTTTTTATTTGTATTTTGGTCTTAACATATTTGAGCCGCGCCATGACAAAACCAACATAATGGGTTTGCGACCAGCATTGATCCAGACCAGCCTGCGGATCCGCGCAGTCTGATCAGGATCTATGCTGTTCGCTATCAGTTTGTCTACTTGTAATAGGGTTTGTAAGCGAACAGCATGGATCCTAATCAGACTGCTGGTCGCAAACCAATTATGTTGGTTTAGTCGTGACACGGCTCAAAATTTTATTTAAACAAGTTCTTTCATATATAAATCACTTCCGAGTCCGCGTCATGGAACCAACCAGTACTAGTGTCATATAAAGAAATATGGTCGTGACCCGATTAGGGCTCGAATTCATGATCCGCGGATTGAGAGGCAGACACCTTAACCACTAGGCCACCGCTTCGTATTTTAGAAAGCAAATAACCGTTAATAAAGGAATTCTAAAACCAGATTATCATAACGAGATCATTTTATAATGAGGTAATTATATAACGGGGCCGAACTCCAAGACTGTTACTCTGGAATGTAACCTCGGAATATACATGCTTATTATCATCAAAGATCATCTTGTAAATGCTATAACGAATATAAACTTCGACGTCCATAACTAATTATTCCTCGAGGGCGTTATCATGAGATCCTCGGAGCGTTGTAATACGAATATTCCTCGAGAATGTTATCGGAAAAATGACGTCATTTTTTTTTTAAATTTCGCTACTACATGTATCATGGTTACATTTTATCAATGTGTATTTTGTTTTCTCATTTACACTGAAGAGGTGCATGAAAAAAACTTTTAATTGACACGAAACATTGACTGATTTTACGCAAGATTTGTACACTAATAGTCACCGTCAATCTGCTGTATAACTAATATACAGAAATAGTGAACACTGGAATTCCTATAAAACACCCTTAACAGCAAAAGTGAAATGAGACGTGTCACGACAAAACCAACATAATGGGTTTGCAGCCAGCATGGATCCAGACCACCCTGCGCATTCGCGCAGTCTGATCAGAATCCATGCTGTTCGCTATCGGTTTCTCTACTTGTAATAGGGTTTGTAAGCGAAAAGCATGGATCCTGATCAGACTGCGCTGATGCGCAGGCTGGTCTGGATCCATGCTCTTCGCAACCCATTATGTTGGTTTTGTCGTGACGCGGCTCAAATGTTTCATACTCAGTTTGAGTTAGTACCGGTTTAAACATAATTTAAACAAGAAATGATGAGACGGTCCGCAGATGTGTTCATAAATACACCATGTGTTCGTATTCATATAATATTCTCAGAAGCAGAAACTACTAAATGCTTTATTTTCATAGTTGTTCATATTTGATACCGAATTAAAAAAAAATGATTTTAAGTATAGAAAAGTTTCTAATTATATGGTTGTTAGTAGGCTCTTTTGGCAATGTATCATGTTTAAATAGATCCTCCTGTGAATTTTGACAGGAAAGAAAAAAAAATATTATCTTTCTACTTTAAGGCATCATATACCACAATTAAATGACATAACAAATAAATTAAGTCTCACAAATAAACTCCCTAATCACGATTTATCAATAAATTATAACTTGGACAATAATAAGCAATGGAATATTGATCAAGCGCTTTCTCTAGATTTTCCTAAACATACTATAGTATTACGCAGTGAAAAAAATAAAAATGTTATAACATAGAAAATCATTTAAGAATAATGGTCAATTAAACGGGAGTGTAATTTGTTGTTTCACATTTTTATTTTTTTCACTGCGTCAATGATGATTTGATTATTATACGCAACTCCTTAGTTATATAACCTAGACATGCCGACACATCTATCTTTTCAATAAAAACGTCAGCACAACAAATATATCGATTTAAAAAAAAACCTTACGTTTTTAATTAAAAGTACGCTAGATCTATTTGATAATACAATTTGTACCTCCGGGCAATGTTGAAATTTGCACACAATTATTTCAGTAAATAATTTCCAATCAAACATGGCAGAGAAAAGGATCTGGACTTTTCTGTCGACAAACGATATTTATAATGTGTTTGTAAGGTGAGTAAGGGATAAATTTGATTTGATTCTTCATTCTTATGTGATATTCATTTTATACCAACATTTAAAATATCAAACAAGTCGTGTTGATAAAACTTGATGAGAGATATACAAATGTAAGTGAGATACTCGTATAATCATATAAACAAGTAAGATTTTTGGGGCTTGGGTGGGGTTGTGTGGTCAGGTGTGGAATAGGGTGTAGTAATAATATATGCATGTTAATGATAATACAGTAAGAACGATAATAAAAGTGTAATTGATGTATAGAGGTCACAAACATGTATATAAAGGTTTTATATATGGAGATAAAAACCAGATTTCCGACTAATTGAGAAACAGGCATGATATTTTCATTTCATTAGAAATAACCATATACTCAATAGTTTCATGACAAGAACATCATTTTCAAACTTTGATTTTAGTGTTTTATTTATGAAATATACACCCGACTATAAGGAAGAGAGTGTCTGATAAAATATTTTATTGGTTTGCGCACCGTATGTACGCATTTTTAGAATTTACTCCGTATAAAAAGAAGAACTACGCTCTTATGTCCATATAAATTTCGTATCGTCAAATACCTTTTAAAACTAGCTCATCTTTTTCATTTTATGTATTTTATGTTTCAGTTTCGTTGTCGCTGCCAGTCTGCTCGTCTTGGCTATAACTATGTCCAGAGCTTTACCTTCCAGGCAATTTTACAAGTTATCAATGAATAGAAATCGTTTAAATCTAACACCTGAGCTTAGTTACATATGCAACATCACAGCTGGGGGTAAACTGAGTGGGAGCATAGACTGTAAAGAAAATCATAACTCTGCTGGCGCTCCTGTGAAACCAACGACACAAAGCACGACGACGACAGGCGATGTTATTGACGACTATGAAATGCGAAGATTTCATGAAGAGTTCAAAAAAGCTGCCAAAAGAGACATGGATTTCGGTACAGGCTTCAATAGGTTGTCCTATTCTTCAACGTCCAATGATACAAAAACCAAAGGGTTGATTAATTCAGAACATGGGAACGAGCATACAATGCAAAGTAAATCCGGACCACAGAAAGAAGGAACTATCTCATTAAATAAAATGAAATCATTGAATAAAGACAGTGTGTCTGAATTACAACATAAAAACTTTCACAGTTATGCCCAAGACAGTTTAAAAAGAGAGGCTTTAGCCCAGAACGTTCGCAATGAAAACAAAAATATAGGTCCAAAATTGAAACATTTTGCGTTTTTAAAAGTGCATAAAGCTGGTTCAACTACAATGCAAAATATCTTTTTTCGATTCGGTCTGAAAAACGGCCTCACATTTGTTTTACCAAAGCATGGCCATTACCTAAAATACGCCAGGGATGTGATCCCAGTTAAGAAAGGAGCCCACTATGACATCTTATCAAACCATATTGCGAGCTTTAAAAATCATTTTTTCAAAAAGTTCACCCCTTCCGATTCTGTTAATATAGCAATAGTTCGGGAACCTTTGGACAGGATGATAAGCGCTGCGTTTTACTACAGGGAAGTCTGGAGTACGCCGTATTTAAAGAGAATACCAAAAGACAGGTTCATCTTAAATTTGATACGGCAGTCTGGCAAGTATGAAAAGGACAATCTATCAAAAACAAGGAACTCAATGGGTTTAGATTTCGGTTTCCCGCGATCAATAAAACGTAGCAACAAGGCCGAAATAAAGCGTAGAATGGAACGTTTGCAAAGGAACTTTAAACTTGTTCTTGTAATGGAGAAATTTGACGAGTCTCTGGTTCTTCTCAAGAGAACTATGAACTGGGATATCTCAGATATAATGTATTTACCCACTAACAGTCATTCTCATAAAAAGACTCACATTTCAAAGAAAGATCTTGCAAAATTTAAATCCACGAACTTTTTAGATTATATAATTTACAACACATTTTCAAGTATCCTTGACGATAAGATTAAGGCCGGTGGACAAGAACTTAAAGAAGAGGTTGAATATTTTAAAAGTGTATTACAAATGGCGAAAAAGTTCTGTGATAAAGGGCCGGCTCATCGGAAAGAAATTTTGAAAATTTCGGAATCAAAATGGAACAAAGCTTTTACCTTTCCTTACACTGAATGTAAATATATAAAAATGGAAGAGCTGGATTTTGTTGCACGATTAAAAACAAGACATTTGAGAATGAATAACTTGAATAAATCTATACTCAACTAAAGGTTCCATGCGATTTTAATTTGATACTATAAATTTTTATATTTTTAGTTCAAATTAGAATTAAGTCATAAATATTTTAATAGCTTTCACGATTTTTACGATTTACCGCTTGAATCTCTATGCAACTAAATGATCAACAACATTAATACTATTGATCGATTTTGCAAATATATTTACATACTTTGATTGTTGAAAATATTTTCGATACTTCTAGTGTAATATATGATTAAATGTGCCATCTTAAACCGAATCCTATATGCATAGAAAGACGCTAGAGGATAAGTTGAAGTTTTAAAGACATTAAATAAAATAAAACTTTTTTGTATTCAAATACATATTATATAAACGTATTGTAAATTACATGTATTTCAGATACACTTATAAATATGGTAGCTTTCTAATTGATTTTCATTATATCTGATTATTTCATTCTATATTTTGTAAATTATAGGTAGTGATAAATGTGTTTTATAAATACATTGTATCATCCCTTCACTAGTTTTTACAGACATAAATCTGGAAGCGTATAGGGTTTCTTTTTTCGGCATTTTCATTTTTTATCCCATTTCACTCTATACATTGTATTTGCAAGAATATATCAAATAAAAATATTCGAAACATTACGGCATTAAAATCTTTGTTTAATTTATCATTATCATTTGTTATATTTTATATCAAATAAAGGCGATTGCCTACATCTGCATGGCGACATTGTTGTGTTATCATCTACTTTTGTCATTATTTATGCATTCTAACTGAAAAACGAAATACTTTTTTATCGATAATATCATTTTTTTATTGATTATAGGAAGGAAAAGTCGTCAAACTTGGTCACAATTCTTTGTCCGATTTAGTTAATTCTGAATATCAAATAAAAGATGCTTTATGAAGTTATTTGTTATTTTCATATGTGGTAAACGAATAATGGTGATTTCCTATTTGTAACTAGGTAGCTGGTAGAATGCAATGGTAAATTACATTCTGAATTTAAAAGATAATCTTTGCGTGTAAAAAATTATGCCTCAAGTTGTGTAAAACAATCTTCCGACACAATTTGTACATGTTTGAATTAACTTCTCTTTGCATTCCAAATTGCAGTCATTTCATGTGGACGAGGAGCTGACGGAGGCCTACAACATCCAACAACGTAGCTTCTAATCCTCATATGGAATTTCAATTGCATTAAACAACTAGTCTATAGATTTTAAAGATCTACGTTTAAATGTTTGAATGTCTTTCACCAATTCAAATTGTTGATATGTGTACCACAAAAATCATTAAGTAGTTATTGGAACTATGAAATAATACGTTCTTTATAACGAATAACATTCATTTCGTAAATAATTCAAAACTCGATATAAAAACCGATTTTACGCTTGCATTTCGAGCTCACAAATTATATCTTGACTTTAGATTGAACTTCGCGCTAAGTTGATGTCTAACGATTAGAAGTTAATATATGTTTTAGAAAAATATCTAACATTTAGAAATTGTGTCTGAGGATTAAGTCACTGAATCGCATGACCCATTTTTCATTTGTTCATTGCTAAAATACTTTTACTGACAAGTAACCTTAATCACACTGGACCGTATAACACAATGGAGTGTAATGTAAAGTTTAATAACAAATATTAACGGATTTATATATCTGGTGACCTTTACCAATATTCTATAGCTTCAATATATAAACACTATTGTCAATATTGATCTTTTAGTGTGCACCCAAGATTTTGCTTATAAATACTACATTAGTGTATATATAAACGTGATGTTTGGTGTTAATACTTTGGAGTTAACATGTTTTAATAAATAACGAGGTAAGAACACCTTCTTTATACGTAATCTAACACGGTTTAAAAGCATAGAATTGTTAAACAGGTTTCAACATGCAATTTTCATATACATGTATATGTAAATCAGATGATTTAGACATATAACTAGCATTTTGAATTACAGTGTACACATACTCGTAGTGCTCCTTAAAAAACATACCATTCTCAATACATGAATACTTTAAAAGTCCATTGGTATACAAGTGCTGTACTATATTGTAGATACGACAGTACTATACCCGGTATCATATTTAATTATTTTATCTATAAGCTTCCTTATGGTAAATGATAATGCATAATGAAAGGCCGATAAATATGATCGACACTGTTATGATCAAATGACGACTTTCTAGCCAGACCTTAGGTGCCCCTCCGTATATTTTTCAGGCACAAATGGGCATCTTTTTACGTTTATTTTTTGTTGTCGTGAATAGTCTATTGGCGTCTCATCGTAGAAGAGTATTTAACGATTTTAAGGCTCCATATAAAAACGGGATTTTAAAAAAATGTGATAGATATCAATACCATATGGATTTCGCCTTCAACAAACCTGGTCTTATAGATTATAATTATAGTATGGTTTCTTTCATACCTAATATTTCATTGTTATCAAATATTGCGTAACATTAAATAACTTAATAGGATATAGTATCATAAATTATTACATAAGATAAGATGGAATTAGACGTTCAATATAGTAGATATCGCACTTACCTAACATTTCAACGAGTACGAAATTTAATGCAAAATAGCTTAATATATTTACACGCTGTTATATATCAGACACGGTCTAATTCTTTCTAATTGTTTTGCTATAGTTATTGTAATTACAAAACGCAAAAAAAAATTGTCGATTATGCGCAAAAATACTATTTAAAAGTAAATGGACGGATACCTCTAAATAAAGTTTATGAAGGTTTTGATGAAAGATGGATGCAGTGGGTATATCAGTAGATGATGCTCTTTATGTGTTACAATCATCTTTTATAACAATGTTACGTCAGTAAATATTTGAACAAATATGTTTTTCCATACATGTTGTGGCCGTAATTATGCGTAAAATGTTACATTGCTTTATACATTTATTTCTCATTCGGCCTTGTTAACAGTAAGAGGTTGCTCTTTCTCAAAGTACTTGACATCCGTTGAACGCTACCAGGATTTGTTGTTAATGCTGTATTTGATAAAAATCTTATTTAGTGATGCAGCTAATCCGTATATTTCATCTGTGTTATGATGTGTAAAAATATATCAGAAAGAGAAAAAAGTAGAGAAAAAAAATATTACATTAACAGGGATATAGAAATTGGCTTGCTTCACTTCTGTATCTTAAATATTTGCATCCATAATTGCATCGCGTGAAAAATAAATTGTCATCTTAGTGCAATAACGGGTTAGCTCCTATTTAATTATATAATTTTATAAATTTCAGAAGTATTTAGATGGTTGGCTGGGACACATCGGCAGATAAGTTGTGAGGGCGTACCAGATTGTACTGATGGCCTGTTTAAGAAGGCGGATCGAGTCTGGTCCGGATAATACCCTTTTAACATTTATTGCAAACATAGGAATAATCGTATTATGTCTAATCAACATTGTCTTCCTGGTAAGTCAATTATAACTTTAGTGAAATTTGTGTGACTTTTATTATTTTTGTTACACTTGACCGAGTGGTTTCAGTCCCTGACGCAAACCAATTGGCAACTTAAACGCTGTTGGTCCCAGTCCTGCTAGGGACTTTTTATTCTTTAATGTGAGGAATTTATTGGCTAGCTTCCGGAATGTTGATGGTCTCACTTACTGAGTCCCCGTTTATGCCAGAAAAAAAAATACGGACGTGAGCTTATGCCAAAAAGAAAATATTCGGAAGTGAAACTTATCTATTCAATCTCCAGGAGAGCTAGAATGTCACCAGATGACTTATTATAGTGATGCTGTTTTGGAATTTGCCTTACGAAATAAGCTTCAAATCTTCCAGCAGCATTAACTATATGTATTCGAATATCTGAAGTCTTACATATCAGTTACTTTTTACGTAGATACATTTGATTGTGCTTCTTTCTAATATTATAGACATTTAATCTAAAAATATTTTATACGTTATATTATAATGTATATTTTTTAGTTGCTAGGTGTAGGTGCTATCGTTGTTGCAGTTCGGTTGGATAAAGAAATTGACAAGCACGACGACATCATGGCCTTGTTTAACCTTGTACAGCTAGGCACATTTACTCTAAAAGAACTTATTAATGCAATCATAGTGGCCGTGATAATGTGCGGCGTGTTTGCGATCGTGACGTCAATGATTGGCGGATTTGGAGCGTTCTGTACCTCGAGATTATTACTCATTTTAGTAAGTTCAGTCTGTTATATATGATACTTTGGCTTTATCAAATATAATGTTATCAGGAACTCGGCAACTGTGGGTTTTTCTCAACTTGTCATTGTAAATTGTCACAGCTTCTCAGTGCACAACCCGTCACAATATGTTATTTTCGAAGCTTAACAGCAAAAGTTTGTTTGTACTTACACATTAACTAGGAAAATCCTAAATATTCTTAATTCCGGAGTTATTCTTTCTTTAAACCTTGAAATCTATACACAAAACTATTTCTTTCACTTAACACTATATACTACACATGCTCTATGAATGCCAGTAAATAATGGACATTCTATTTGAATGAATAATATATAAATATATGGCTAAATACATGACAATGTGCTCATTATATTTTGAAGATCTAAACGTATTTGTTTCTGTTTATTTTCAGTATATAGTGATTGTGATAGCATGTATAATTCTAGAGCTGTATATCTTGTCACTCTGGATTGACCTTCTAGACAATGTAAATAAACAATATCCTATTCCATATTTAGACATACATAAAATATTAAATTTAGAAATTGAAGCATTGCCTTCAACATTTCAAAGCAAAGAAATCGCTAAAGATTTAAGTTTTAACCGGTTAATACGACATTCTTTGCTACGATTAAAGTGCTGAAAGTTGCAGTGATGGCTACTGCTAAAGAATCACAACTCAAGTGTTGATACTTTAGATGATAAAGATAATAAATTTGTTGAAAAAGATTTAAGATTGAATGAGCTTATAATAAGAGTTCTTAACATAAGAGTTATAACGGTTTCAGACCAACTGATGCAAGAAACGTTATAATCTATCAGAATTTCAGAAACATATTCATTTGTAAATACAAAATGATGTATTAATTATTAAGTTATACTTTGAACGTTTCAGTTAAATACAACGTTAAGAGGCTGGTTTAACAAATTGTTAAAGAAATACAAGGGATCAGCAGTAGCCGATATCTATTCTCTTGGCTGGGATTTTATTTTCATATTTGTAAGTACTTTATGATGCAATATTCTATGGTATTTTGACTCTAACTTGCTTGAAACGAAAGTGATTAGCTTTCCCAATCAGTACAGAGCCACTTTTTGACACATCTTACTTTTAACGAATATCTTACGTTTAAAATACATGTTTTCCTAAAACATACAAAATACTGCTTAAAGCAAGAGCGCATTACAACAGCAGGTGTCAAGCGCCATTTGGCAGGCGTAAAAGTTGCCCCGTACTGATTTCATTACTTTTAAATGTTGAAAATTGAGTACTCTGGTCAGGCCCGCCGGTGCTAGATGACGTAAAGGATGTTGCACTTTTTCATTGTCCCTTATGTACAGACTCAATCATACCGAGTCTTCAATTGTCATGTAATTTTGCTAGTTTTGATGCATCCGAAGGACCATCTTTTTTCAAATATTCACCTAGATTATTTTTTTTTTGATAAAACGAATGCACATTTTATTTATCGATTGGTGTAGGCCATAACAATTCTGTTAAGTATTTATAATGCAGTTTGGCTGCTGCGGTGTTGATCCTGTAACAATGACGAACAACGATTTCCGGACGCTGCCAACAAAATGGTGGACATCAGGTGATCACGGAAATGACACAATACCGGCATCATGTTGTCATGACGTCACAGTTAATAACTACCTCAATTACAACAACACAGACTGTACAGCCAACCTGAATGCTTATCATACAACCGTAAGTTCTGTTCACTTGGCTTGTCTCATTTGTCTGTATCAGAAATAACAACTTCTCAAGTTAGTTAGCAAAACTACACCAAAAAAAATCTTTAACTTACCAGAAGTTCATATAATATTCGCTTATAAGAAGAAAAACAACGATTTAAACAGCTCAAAAGAAGCGATGTATGAGCGACTGTAGCTGTTTAAGACGTTTACTTTTCCATATAAGAGTATTATTAACTTACAGTCGTTGACCTTCTTTTCGTATGCGAGCGCGTTGTTGTGCTAAATAAACGCTACAGAAAAAAGTTCATGCGGAATAGACTGTCAAAAATTTTCAAATTCACGTCTTCTGATTGGACGAAAAGTAAGGCAAAGACTTATATATTGAATTTACAGAATAAAGTTCACTTACAGTCAGTTCTAGGTCTAAGTTCTAGACATACTTTTGAATATGTTGTAATGTCAATCATTTTTGTAATGTACACTTTCAAATGCATATATATAGATAGAGGTGTCAATTTATTTGTGAATCTACCAACATTCCATAAACCATTACTTAAATTTACTAAACTTCATTAAGCTTTTATTTTGTTGTTGCTTTTCATAATTGTTACAGATTATGATTCAAATAGTTGTGTTTCAGGGCTGTTTTGATATATTTGATGAAATATTTACACGACTAGCATCAGCTGCCATATCTATCGTAACAATATTATGTATCATAGAGGTAAGTAAACTGAGTCATGCACATTTTCTATTGTACTCTACACCCTCCCCACTAACCTTTTTAAAAAATTACCAACGAGTCCAATTTTTGATATCTAAAATTATATAACTGTTGCAACAGATGACGAATGTTTTTACTTGTTGACTTGACTCCATCAAATGCGTTATTGGTGTCACACCTTATCGTTATTTGTCCGCTTTCGTAATATTTTCAACCCTTTTGTAATTTGTGTCATCCCATTTCGTAAATCGATTAAAGTTGGATAAATCGATGAAACCTTATAAATTTGTTAATTGGATAAAGACAAATACATGTATAATCGGCATTTGAGAGTTGTCTTTTTTGTCGTTAATTACGGAAATGATACTAGTTTGTGTCTATCTTTCTGTCACAATTTTAACAGTTTCTACTAGTACTGTGTCACTTTTTAATTGATATTATGTAATTCAATTTCAGATTTTTTTGTCGTATGTGTGTAAATATGATGACTTTTCAGAACACGAGAACAAAAATTGTTCTCTTTTCGTCACTTTCTTTATTAAATCAAAAGGCATTGCAAATTGATAAGTTTCTAGTAATTTATATCGTGCTAATTATCTTAGTGTTATTATTAAATATGTGCTGTCTGTATATGGCATTTTCAAAAGGCATATTAACATGTGTCTCATATCTACACAGAGATTACTTCTTTTCAGGGTGTGGCGATATTTTTCAGCATTGTCATCATCATATGTGCTGTATCAGGCAGACGAAAAATAGGAATTGTATGATGATTTTATTTATGATTGCGAACAGCAGTTAATTAGAAGTGTGAGTGTTGATATGTAATAGTAAGGACGTGTAAAAATGAGGACGTATAAACGATGGTGAATCAATAACTTCGCTAAAAAGCGAGCTATTAATCATCTTATATTGAAAATGCAGGAATATTATCAGTGAACCTGTTCTACATTTACATTGTCTCTCGTGAATATATATGGAGTTATGGACACGTTTTGAATGTTCTATTGTAAAGTTATTTTGGTTGGACGTCAGTCATATATTGTCATCATTACTTCCGGTGTGGTCACTCAAAAAGGTGATGAACATGAACTATCTAAAAATCGAAAACTTCAAGCCGTAATGAAATCTTCTATTTTATTTTATTTTTATATGGACATTTTTTCATTAAAACTGTTTTTTTTCAATATCACACATAACTTCAAAACGATCTATGATTTATTCAACACATATGAAAATAAAAAAAGTACTACATCGGATATGATTTCTAGAGATTTTTTTACAGCTTCAGAATTCAAGACAATTGATACTTTAAAATTAAATCTCGATTTGCTTGCCTGAACATCAGCTAAAAAAGTAGCAAAATTGCAATAAGTTTTTTTGGCGTTTTTACTTGTTTGTTTGCTCAGGTTAACATATTTTTTACATTTCATCTCAAAAACTTCTAAAATCATTTCCGCATTCAGGGGCATTAAGATGTTTATATCGGCATGGTTCAAAGTAATTACATACAGCGGTCATGCACAATTTCTGTCTAGTTTACAATTGTTATAGTCTTTGAACTTACGTTCATTATATATAGCTTTGCAATTTTTATATACTTTTGTATACGTTAGATATTTATGTTTATTTACATCGAAATTTTAAATATTTATCTAGTATGTTGATAAAAAAAAATCCTTTTTTAAATTTTTTTTATAAAGATTATATTTAAAGATGTTTTAAATTCTGACAACATGATGTTAAATGATAAATTCTAGTCTATGTATTTTTGTTAAAGAAGGTTTATTAAAGTTGTTCAAACTATAAGTTGTGTAATATTGGTAGCACGCAAGCACGTAAACCTTTCCATTCATGTTATACATATCGATTGGTAATGTTTTAAATTAGCAGTTTAAAAAACATCAAAGTAAAAATATATGCGTATCACAAATTTGAATAATTTTGTCTAATGAATTAATTATTGTATTTGTTTAATTTTGTAGCTGAAAAGTTTGATAATTAAGCATTCTTTAGTGAAAATATTTTCATAAAAAATAGTGTAATGTTGATGTAGTGGAAAACACTTAGTTTATAGACTTCGCTGAATCTTTATATCGATCACAGTGTTAACTGAACGGAGCAAACCCTTCTTCTGAGAGTACGGTACCGAAAGATTACATAGGTTTCACAACCGGCATATGATTATGTAGGTAACTAAAACTGAATAAAAATCATTGTTTTTATTTATTACAGACCTTATATTTGAATACCGGTATACGTCATTTTATAAATACCATTTATAAATTTGTTGCTTTGTTTCTGATTTTCGTTTGTAGGATTTATAAATTTGTTTCTACCAGAATGATATTTTGTAAAAGTGAACTTGATTTACATGTTTCTAATAAAATGGCTCAAAAAGTATACATGTATGTGTTTGAATGTTTTCTTTTACGGCTAGTTTTGTAATACAAAGAAACATGTCCAGTATGCACGCTCCGTAAGTGTTGAATATTTTAGATTTTGGAAAGCATAGCTTCCTATAAGTAAAATGAAAAATCTAATTTTGAGTTTTCATAGTTGTCGTTACAATTCTCTATGAAAGCCATTGATGCTGGAGTGCAGGGAGCGATAGAATCCAAAGAGTATTGGAATGAAAATAACAAATGCGAAAATATAATTCTTAAAGTACCCCTAAAACGAATGTTGCAGACTCGGTTGGATTTAGCCGATTCGTTTACGATAATGATAAGTGCAAGCTACCATCCATGACCCCCGTAGCACTAGCTTTCTACTTTACATATTTTTTTTAACATTTAAACATGATAATTGTCGGATTTTAAATTAATTATCATCCTATGATATATATACGGCGGTTGGCAATGTACCTTTTCAGAACAAGGTGACACGATCAATCCATTCAATACAAACCTGCAAGTGGTCGTCCCAAAGCAAAAATGTTTTAGCCTTAAAAAGAAAAAGTCTTAATAGGTATAAATGTATATTACCCATTATTACCCCCTTCTCATAAGACATAGGCTATGTGCCGCGTGTTCTTGATATTTGGAAGCTTTAACTTTCATATATAGATACAAAAAGAAACAAATTGCAGACGACAGGAGACAGTGTATTTCTAAAAGCATTTAGTGTACATATAAGAAAACATCATTGATCAAATACATGTATATTGAAAATTGAATACAGCTACATACTCATTTGTATTCAGATTTATTGGGATAAAGCTAAAAGAAAACGAAATTGACAACATTTTCAAATTACTACTAATTCACATTTCTTATTGGTTACTTTTTAATATTCTTCGTATAAACGTATAATATATATTATGTATATGATTACACAATTGTAAACACATGTTGATGACAAGATTCGATAAAGAGCATCGTTCTGACCTCTCAGACTGTTAAAGAGAGAAGCATTTGTGCATCATACCTGTACACAAACATTTTCCATAAACCTATATAGCTTGAAATTGCGTCAATAACACTCACTACCAATTCGCCTTTCGTTACAAACACGTCTATGATTTCGATATCTTAGCTGTCATATTCAAATTAACATTTTACTTATGCAACACAGGACAATATATAAAATAATCTTAATACAGAAAACAACACTGAATACATTGACATAAAAAACAATATAACAGATATTAATAATCAGGCAATAAAATGACAATTTTTTAAAAAAAAAACAATATTATGATTACATAACTACATCATTTTCAATAAATTGAAATAAAAGAAAAATAGCTTATGCAAAAATGTAAGAATTATTATAACACAACATTGAACACATATATCTACTAAATAAACAAAACAGAGAAAAACACTAAAAAGTAGTCTGAAAAATCTTTCATCTCAACCATTGCACTCCTGGTAGTTGCTCTGTGAATTAAGAATTATTAGGGAAAGGATAACATTTCCTAACTTTTCAATATCATCCTTCAGGTTACCCTTGCGTGTAATAGGCTTCTTTCTTAAATGGATATCACCTGTGATCTAAAATTAAAAAAACACTAACATTAATATATTATCGTTACGTCAGCACAAACATTTATAAATATCTGTTACAGTAAATTCAGAACAAAACGAGAAAAGATTTATTCAGCTGCGTGTTTTAATCTTCGAAAGTTATTATATTTATTTTTATATTTGTTATAACATACGCATAAACTCCAAAGTGATGTACGGTAAAAAATAGAAAAGTGTAGATCCATTAGAATGAAAGAAAAATAACAAACTAAACTGAATACAAAATGTTTGAAGTCTGCTCATGAAACATCCTCCATCCCCACCCCTCAGCACCGGCTTACTAAGCAAATAGTTATCAATGACCCTAAAGAGCCAGAAAGATATACATGTACATACCTGATTGTCTAGCATCCAAAGAAACAGCTCCTCCTTATCAAGAAATTCCAGGGTCAGACCTTCTGTGTTAAGAATATGAAGACAGTGCGCAAGCTCCATCGATATCTTCAGCACTGTCAATGTGTCCAAATTCTGCTTTTTATTTATTACCTCGTTCAAGCTTATAAATGTCTGTCCTTCTTTATCCTCTGTATTTAGTAAGTACCAAAATAAATCAGGGAGAGATCCAGATTGTTTGCCTGAAAAAGCAATTAGCAAGCTTCATTATGTCACGATAAAAAATAATTGTTCTTTGATTTTAAAGAAACAATTGTCCTATACTATCCAAATGTTGAAATATTACTTCAATCTCATCAAAACAATTTTTAAAAACGGTTAAATATGAAGTTTTTGTTCGTAAAACGTAAACAAAATACAATTTCAGATTTACATACCTACTTTCCTTTTCAAAGAGGTCTCGATAGTTGGCGGGGTTAGAGTAGTGTTCTTCTGCAAAACATCAAATTACATGTATATATTTTATGTTATGTCACTGTCTGTAAAATGATTTTATTAAATCAAACAAAATGTGTGTTGTAAGTTAGGGATTATCATTACCTTTAAGTCGGTATTTCAACTTTACTGTAAAGTGTATAAAGCTATATCTGATGTTATATTTTACTAGGCTGTTTTCTTAACCTTATGTTTGTTTTTAAAACATATATAACCTTATTCACTTTTAGGATACGAACATGTGTATATGCCGTATTTCGCATCTACTTTACTTTTATATTTATAATTCTTATCTAAGGTATGAGGTAGGATGTCATATTTAACTAGAAGCGAAAAACATTTGAAATAACTTACCCTGCTCGATTTTGAATTGGATAAGGACCACGTGTATAGAACCGGATTCAACGCCGAATTTACAGGAAATATAAAGACAATTATCCACGCATATACGTCGCTTGATATCTCATACCCAGACATTGCCATGAACCCTAAGACGAAGAAAGAATTTGTTAACCATTTAAAATAGTTATAAACATTAAGTGAAACACTTCCTACACTTGTCTGTTGAATTCATGTCGACTGGATTGAAAATAAAATGAATTTCATCATACGTAAAATAAATTTAATATTCCAGTCATATTTATATTTAAAAAAATCTGTTGGTATATTATTTTGTTGACTTTCTTTTTTGCTTAGTTTGACGGCGCACTGACACAGTTTAGGTCATATGGCGTCGAAACAGGAAAGATGATTTTGGCTAGCCTATTGTATTACAAACTTTAAAGCAAGGGACCAAAACCACCTTACCTGCTGAGCTAAGAGATGCACTAGATAATAATCCGAACCTATTTACTCGCCTCTTAAGATCACGCAGTTTTAAACGGTGGCTGCAATGCCAATGTCTCAACCGGTAAAGGCAATCCCTGATCTATTTATCTAAGATTCATAACTATAAGGAGTATTTTGCTGTTGTTGTTGTTGAGGATATTGTTGTTGTTCATCATGCAAAATAAACATATTCTGGATTTAGGACTTATCGTTTTAATGTTTTTGAACATACGTATTTAAGTATACTTGCCTATACAACCGATGGGAAACCAGCACAAAAAGTCGGATGTAACAACAAGAAGAAGATTCCTTGCAACTCTCATATCTCTCTTTTGACAAGATTTCAAACTTCTCGAAGTGGATGATTTAATCTCAGACGAAGCTTTCCAAATTTCTATATAGATTAATCCTTGGCCCAAAGCGATTATACAGAATGTCATGAAATTGAGTCCAAGAAAAATAAGCACGGAATATAGCCAACCAGGTGGCCGATCTCGTGTCAACGGAAGAGCGATGCATACACCCGATTTAGAATAAAACTTCCAGTCAAAATAGTTGTCGAAGACTACCGGAACAAGCGCAATTATGACCGAGAGTGTCCAGGCAATAAATGACAAAACAGAGATATGCTTTGAATTCAGACGAAATTGTCCGAATGGATATTTAATAACGAGAAATCTATCCAAAGTGATGAGGCATAGAAAAAACACGCTTGCTTCAGATGCCACCGTAGACAGAAATCCAGCAACGGTACACCACCCACTGTTTCGCCAGTAGTCATCCATAAAAATGTATCTGAAATATATAGATTACATTACCGCCTTGAAATTTTAAAGCAATAAATTTAAATATATTAAAGAAAAGCAAATTTATAGTTTTCCATAAATAATCAAGTATTATTTTGAGAGAAAAAAAATTAATGACAAGTAAGACTTTTATATAGTGTATATATGAACGTTGATATGCAATAAGAAATATGAAAAAGAAATATTTCAAATTATAAGATGAGCAATTGTATCTTCTTGACACTGATTAACGAACTTACAATGATCATTAACAACAGGCACAACAGTTATTAGAATGACAATTTCGATATTTTGTGCGCTTCAAACGAAATTAACATTCAACCTACAAAAGCTGTCTTTTTTCAATAATCAAACATCTAAACACTTACCGGTTTCTTAACATCGCATCAGCTACTGCTATGATAAGTAAGTATATCCCCATAATAGTGTCTGCCATGGCAAGATTTGTCACAAATATTTCATAACCAAGTTGAAGTCTATCTCGGTGGTAAACCAATCTGTAAATCACGGATAATATGTTTCCAAATAAAGCGCACAGTCCAATTAGCCAGACCATTGTCTGTAGAGCTGATAGGCGTAAAAGATCTCCGCAAGATGAAAGTTCGTCTTTTTTTGGAAAACAGTTTTCATCTAGTAAATAGTCGGGGCGAATGCAGCAGTATTTGTACTCTGATGTTGTAAGTTCGGATAAGTCATAAACTCCTCTAAAGAGGCCTTCATTAAAGTCTTCTATAACAGTATGAGTTAAATATATATTCTGCGCATACAAATCATTAAATATATTGTCCTCAATGTGTTTTATTTTGTTAGAAGTTAAATTCAATACGTCCAGTCGTAGCCCAGAAAATGCATTTGAAGATATCAACTGTATGTTCGCTCCAACTAGCTCAAAAACTTTTAAACTTTGTAGTCCGTGTAGAGCAAATGGCTCAATTCTGTATAGATCTACATTTCCTATCAAGTTAAGACTAGTAAGTCTTTGTAACCCTGAAAATCCAAACTCTGGCAAAAATTGAAGTCTGTTATGACTAAGATCCAAAACTCTTAAATTGGGTAAAGAATGCAAAAACGCATAGCTTTTCATTGCATGTATGTTACATTTCGACATGTACAAGTAAATAAGGAAACTAAAGGTAAATCTTGGGTATACAAGTGCTTCTTGTAGACCTGGATTCTGATTCAAGTCCAAAAGTCTTGAGTTGACGTCAATTTTCGATAAATCGGATAAACTCAGTCCCTTTCCGCTGCAGTTGGTCGTATATTCCATACATGTGCATATGTTTAGGCATGAGTACTGGCAAAGTCTTTCATCATCACCATGTACACAATGTCTATGCCCGTCACAAACCTGTTCCAGTAGTATACATTGTTTGCTTGCTGCACATTGATATTCTCCAGGACAATAAACAGTTGTGGAATCTGAAACGAAAAAAAAACAGCAACAATTGACAAAGGTCACATTTAGATTTGATTTAAGAATACCTAGACAATTTAATTTTTAAGCATTGGTGGCAATGCATAACATCAAAATTCATTGCAAATTGGTTGATAGAAATTCATTTGAAAACCGTCTTCCATTTATAGTAAAAAGGTTTATCATAAAAAAGGGGAAATGGAAACAAACCGCAAAATAAAGATGTTGCAGACTCATTTTAAGACGGCAGCAATAGATCTACCGTCCACGCGCCAAGGTACCGATAAAACAGGATTCAATATTTAATAATCGGAATGGGTACAAAATTAAGAAAATGACAATATCTTAGGATGTGTTCATGTAGCGAATATCATGTAATTCTCAGTGTATGACCATACTACCGATCCATAACTATCTCTTAATTAAAAAAAGACATGCCAATACATATAAACTCAACAAACCGTTGCAAATCTGTGGGAAGAACCTAGTACCAATACTAGTTAGAATATTCCAACGTTTGATAACAACATCTGTAACAAAGTCAAATTGTTGTCTTCTTGGTACCTCACTTGTCCCACTTACGACTCTGAATAGATGAAAATGCGGTCTGGATTTGATTCGTCCGAATATCATGTTTGCGACAATTTCCGATTCTTTACTATTTTGAATGAATATCACGCCCTTTGTTCCAGTTTTCGTGAAGCGTATCGAATTTATGAAATCTGATGCTAGAATTGAATATTTACATACAATGTTTCTCGAGACAGACTCGTGTTTTTTTACAACTTCATCAGATATATCAAGCAATCTGTGAGCGAATGGAAGCAGAGCATCGTGTGTACGGGTCTGAAATTGTAAATGTCTTACGATGCTATCGTGTGAATCAAACAGTTTGGCAAAAGATTTCAGTTGTTCTACTGGGTTGTCTATCAACGTTCTTTCTGATAGTATAATCACTTCCCGATCGCTGTCTCTGCAACCTGTAATATAAAATTGAAAATGGCGAAAAAATCGGATTCAGAAATCGGTTTGTTGAACTCTTGTTATATCCAGCTAATGTGATAAGATTTTAATATTCAATAAAAAATTAATATCTAAATTTAACACTACATTATCTTTTTGAATCTAAAAATAACCATAAGTACATCAACATAAGGTAATAATAAAGTAGCAATTGAATATACTCTTGCACTGCATTAATTAGAATTATAACTTGACCTGATATTCGACAGGGTTAATATGTTTGACATGTATAAAAAAATAAATAAAATCTGGATAGCGATTCGAAAAAGTACATTATTGCTAACAGCTAGTTAAAAACAAGATGGTCAAAATATGTGATAAACAGTTACCACAATCGTTCTCATCATCACCATCAGGACAGTGTTTAACTCCATCACAAATGAATCTGAGAGGTAAGCAAAAACTCCGTGGGCATTTTACAGTCTTTGCTGGACACTCAAAGTCATCTAAAAATAGAAAATAGGAAAAAAAATCGGATATAGCAGTGCTTTTATAATTTTAGTATTATCAATATGAAATATTCATTAAATCTTTCATAATCATGGAAATAATCGTATGGCAGTTAGATGTTGTCAAAGGCTATTATTTTTTCTACTGGTCAGAAAACGTGGTTCCTTTACCACTATTGTCTATAAAATATAGATATTAACAAAATTTGTTACCGGAATAGCATATTAACATCTATCATAATAAAATCCTTTTTAAAGTGTACAAAGCTACATTACCAATTTGTCTCAGAAAAAATAGATATCAGAATCTCTTCTTGTTGTTTTTCTTTCTCTTCAATCACTTTGCAATACTATGGCTACAATATATAATTTATAACATAACTGTTTATTACATCAACAAATTGGCATTTAATATGGCAAATTTGACATTAAAACATTACCACAGTCTTGTAAATGACTTCCTGATCTACAACCAATCATTAAGCCAGCATCATCAATGTCGAAAACACACCTTACAGATAATGGAAAGACTTTTTCTTCATCCTCACAACCGATTGTAGTCTCCGTAATTGTCCCATCTACAACAATATTTAAAGGAAATCGTAACAGATGACTCCATGAGCCTTTCTGGCTTTACACTAGTTATGGCGAAATTTAGCATATTAAAGGTGCTATAAAGTTTAAATGTTTAATGAAATCATTACACAGTACAATTAATTTGTATAGATTAATATTTTTGAGAAAGATATATCAATATTCTAATTATCAAGGAAAGAAAAATATAAGAATTCATTTTCAATGTGAGCATGGACACAAAGAGCAAGAAAGCTAAAGACCGGGAGGGACATGTCAAATTCATGATTTCATCACATCAACTTCACGATATTACAATAACAAATTGACCACATATTCACGATTTGCCACTTGACATTTTCTATTTCGTGAATTCATGTTTGCAACTCGATGAATTCCCGATTCCAACTTAATGAGTTCACGTCTTCAACTTCATGAATTTACAATCTTGATCAAGCATTCTTAAGAGATCGAAGCAGTTGCTTTTGATACGTAAATGTGGTCACCTTTTTATGTATTTCTATTGCGACTTGCATTTAAAAAGTCATTTTATTTAAATGAAAAAAATATGAGGCATTTTTCAATACATATAATAACTTCAATGGATCAAAATCAGCATCAATATAAATTTAAACGGACTACTGTTTACTGACTGTAATAACAAACGATGGGGCTCAATCTTATTTCTATGTCACGTGGAAATGTTCCTCCTTTGTACTTGTAGGTGAGCATACGTTGCTCGTTTTCGTTTTCAGAGTAGACAAATGACAGGCGATGTTCTGCATCTCTATGTGTAGTATTCTCTTCATCATTGCAAAAGCGTGCAATCCTGCGAAACAGAAAGAGTATGATTGTTTGTATATCCTAGTTTTTACGACAATTTTTTAACATATATATTAGTTCATCTCATTTTAACATATATATTAGTTCATCTCATTTTAACATATATATTAGTTCATCTCATGTCGTCAGTTAATCTACCTAACCCATTTTCCTGGACAACTAACCAGTAAATACCAAATTTATTTTCCCAAATTGACTGACTTCAAATCCAACTTTGAAAGTTCAGCGGTGAGGGAAAATGACCATTAAAGTGGAATTTTTGCCTCCCCCGAGCGGTCCGTGGATTACTATTCTGATGCTCTCCCAGTTCAGCTTAGCGGGGAAACAGGTATAAAAAATGCATAATATCACATACGAAGGAAGTGTAATTTTTGTGTGAATAAACATGCGTTTAAAATAAATCAAATATAGATTATCTTTTCTGAAATGAAATGAAATAAGTGTCATGTTAACATGACCATCCCTCGCCTTATATGTTTGCGTATGTGTAGGAGACTAAGATATTTGGATATTAAAGGTTTGTTGCGTTTAAAGTGAAGTAAATAGAGATGTGTTGTGGAAATAGTACACACTATTGGAGATTATTAAAAAAATCAGCTACGTATCTTTGTCAATGATTTAGTCATTATTTATTCAAGTTTCATTTACATGTGCATCTCTTGGACAGTTTTAGAGTTACATTTTAAATAGACAAAATAATGAAACTGGATCATGATGGTAGATAATTACAAAATTATATCAAATTAGAGTCTTAAAGTCACTGCACTTATCATAGTTTACAATTATTCATTTCTCAAGTTTCAAGTCAAGACCTCAATGACTTGTTACATTATGCTTCGAGAGAACATTATAAGAAGAACCAAACAGACTAATTGTTCTTGGTCATTACACAACCGTCAACTGTAAAAATGTATATAGTACGAAATTTCATATTTAAGGAAATGTTTCAAAAATGGTAATAGTTCTATGTCAATGTACTTCTTCTTAATTGACATCTACTTGTGATTTGTAAATGCAAGTCAATCACTTGTTCAGTGTTATCAAACTGGACTAAATAGAGTCACAATTTTATCACTGTACTTCTTCTAATTATAACCTAATCATTTTTCAACATTCAAGACAATATCTTATATTTATCAAGATTCGCCCCAGACAAAAATGTGGGATGTAAGGACAGACGGTCTGACGGTGACTATTGTCAAATCCACTGCCTCTTTTTTAGCGGGGTAGAATAAACATAAAAAGTTTATGTGAAATGAAGCATGTTCAGTTGATACTTACTTTCGTGACTGATAGGGATAAACTGTCAAGGTTATACATTCGCAATTGGTTGTTATGTCGGCTGTTTTATTTACATCTTTTATGGCTTCTAACACAGGTCTGCACATCTGGGTAATCTGAATATAAATGTTTTTGTTTAGCATTTGGCAATAAATATGATTCAATTTAAATGTAAGAATAAGAACTTTTTGTACTATTTGTTGCAAAATACTCGTAAAATGAAGTAATAAAAGTAACGTATTAAAAAAATCATAATGCGTTTTCCTTTGCTTCTTAATGTTAACTCTTTAGAAAAGGAAGATATACCAATGCTCAATACAGGAAAACAAACTTCTGTGTATGTCGTCTGCTGTTTTTTCTATATAAGACTGAATAATTAGATTATAATTGATCATTTGCGTAAAGAAAAAAAAAACAGACATAAATGAAAATTTACCAAATGAATAAAATAATAATAATATATTAAACAATAATGTTTGAAGACCCGGCAAAGATATCACATTAGTCACATCCTTAAATTTGCAACTCATCATCAAAACATAAGTGAATACTGTTCCTGTGATGATCATTCAGTCAAATAATGTCGAGCAATACATAAGACTGCTCCACTGTATTAAGTCAAACAAAAAATTCATGTCATTTAAACATACGTACAAATCACTATATTACCTACAACGTATTCCAGCTTAAAATATTTACTTAAACATTTTAGATAAAATTTGAACCTAGACTCAAATAAAGAAAATTTCACACCTACATTTTGAGTACATATGTTGTTTGGATCTGTAAGAACACCGTGGCTTGGAACATTGTTACTGAATTGTCCTCCCTTCAAATAAATTTCCTCTTGATTGGTCCCGCTAAAAGAAAATATAAATTTGCGATAGAGAAAGAATAATGAAATTAAAACATTTTTTACAGTACTTTTTTCATATGCAAAAAAGGGAAAAAGTAAACTAATGCACAGAGTTTGTATTTTTTAATTTTGCTTGGTTAAAGAGAATCATAACTGAAATAAAGTTATTGAAAAAATGGAAGTAACAATTGTCCTTTTTGAATTATCTGCTACTGAAATGAAGATGTTAAAAATTTTAAATATAAATTTAAAATCCTTTTATTTTTCATTTGTATGGTGCTAAAATGTGCTGAAATTGTACTCGACAGATATTACGCTTTAGCTGCTGATGAATTTTTTTTTCAAGTTATGCCTCTGTTTTAAAAGCAAACAAAGACTTAAACTTGTCAAAACACATTGAATTCTGATTGTTATAAATTTTGCATTTTGTCGGAATAATAAATAAAAATAATTGTTTAAAAAATATATTGTCTCTTGAAAGTGACCTAGAAGAGTTTTTTAAAAACTCACTTTCCGAGGTATGTTATCCAAAACAGATGTTGGTCTCATGAATTTGTGTCCATCTTTAATGATGCAACATTTAAGAAGAAAAATGTAATTCTAGATTAAATTTTCGTTCTTTGCCCATGTGGGAAATCGCAAAATGAATGAAATTGTCTTTCAAAACCGTGAGTTGGTGCCAACACATTTCATCTACAAAACTACTACATCATTATCATAATAAATAAATAGACTAAGTATTTTTTAAATAACTACATATATCCATTTTTAAAACAAATTACATAAGAAAGTTTATAAAGAAACAAAAGCTTCACTAACCAGAAGTGGATCTAATTGCAAAATTTTATGATCTCAAAATACCAGATACAAGAGTTTTATACTAACGTGTATGTAATTTCAAAGCTATGAATTATTGTGTTTAAACTTCCTCTTTCTGGCACCAAACTAAAGTCGCACTCCGCATCTATGTGTCTTCCAACATTATCATCTGTTGTAAGAAAACAATTAGATACAAGAAAGTACAATTTTTCAGAGATTCTAGAGATATAATCATCTGTTTAATGGAATTTTATTTTCTGCACGCCATGCTTAGCTTTTGTTGTTTAATACAGCTTGATGAATGTAACACAGATTTGTGAAAGGAAAATTCTCTGTCTCACCAAAATACTCAAAATACGTGGAAACATTCAACAAGTACTTGTATAAACATTGTACAATACCGATACTTCCAATAGTCATGTTACTAACAAAGCAAATTGTATGTTACTGAAGAAGCAAATTTTGTGTTACTAATGAAGCAAATTATATGTAACTGATGAAACAAATTATGTGTAACTTATGAAGCAAATGTTAATATGTAACCAATGAAGCAGATTACATGTAACTAATGAAGCAAATCATGTGTAACTAATGAAGCATATTATATGTAACTAATGAAGCAAATTATATGTAACTTATGAAGCAAATGTTCTGTAACCAATGAAGCAAATTATATGTAATTAAAGAAGCACATTTTATGTTACTAAAGAAGCAGATTATTTATAAGTAATGAAACAAATTGTAAAACAAATTGAAATTTTTCAACAAAATTCCTTTCTTTTCTTTTTTATGTCTTTCCTTTTTATAGTTTGAGAGTGAATTGACTACATAACTCGTCTGATTAAGGGCGGATATTTCCCCCACACTTTTTTCAACATCATATGTTTTATCATTATATATATCTGGACTAGCAATAAATTTTTAATTCTAATTGTAGATATTGCATGTTCAATAATGTAAATATTTAACATGTAAATTTATAAAAAGAAAGTCATCGTATAGCCCACATACTGTTGCAAATTGTAGGCCACACACTATTGCAAATTTTTATACAATGTATGTTCAAATAAACAGAATATTCCAGTAACCAAGTAAGCACATGCTTTAGCAATTAAGTGTAAGTTTTTGGGGTAAAAACGTATTATTTGATCGATATAAAAGTATTTTATATCGGCCATTTGTTGATAAATATCTGTCATGAACTAGAAATTAGGCAAAACTGACACAGAAATGACGCAAAATTGACATAGGAATGGCGCAAAATATATGAAATACGTTTACAAAGGCCGCGTATCTTTTCTCATATTTTGTTACAAAATCAATTTGTTGAAAAGTTAACCTTGGTATGAGAATCAAAGCAAATTTATGCTTAGTTAAGATACAAAAACATGCATTGGCAATGCTCAGTAGAAAATGTTACAAATGATAAATTGTGCAAATTATGTTATCGGTTGTAAAATTATTTTTTTACCAAACAAGAACCACGTCATACAACTAAGAAACCAATCAAATTAGTGAAAATGAAAAGCAGAACGTTTATAATGAACCAACTGTAGTCAAGAGATACGTTCATCAGGATTTTGTAGTGCCTTATATAAAGTAATTTTATGGTTTAATTTGGCATATCTTACGTGTATTTATTCCATCTTTGTAGTATTTGTGTGATAACTGGTGACTATTTTTGTGTGTATCCTTTATTTCTGGGTGGAAGGATTAAATATGTACATCGGGCCAGCAGAGTGAACTAACAGGGAGAACTTAAACTTGATAATTTCAGAAGTTTTCCCCGAAGCAACGAGATGACTAATATGATATATTTCGTGGATAGTGGTGACTGTTAATATTTTTAAACATGAAATTGGGAATCCATAACTTAGCCTCAAATGATACTGATTTACTGAAGGATTTAGGGGGCAAGAATTGAGTGGGCCGACACCTTCAACAATCAAATATCAAGCCTAATGGTATTATATCTGAGTCATACCTAGGCAATATAGTCTGGTGTTTCTAAAGCCTGCCTCCCACCATTCTTTACAGGAACTACGGATTGGCCGATTGCAATTTTCCTCGTCAAGAATATCGAAACAGTCGGAGAAATGGTCACACACAAGTTGATTAGGTATACATCTTACAAGGTCGCAATGGAATGCCCCTTGTTTGCATGTATCTGAAAGTATTTTTTAAATGGATGATTACCTTAATTAACTTACAATAAAGAATAAAATTAAGTTAAAAGCTAAAAGAAATTAGTTAAATTACCACAATAGCTTTCGGTAGAACAGCGTGCTCGACTATTCTTAGTGATTGATAGCCTGGATAAAATAAAATTTTCAAAATCCATCTGTTATGGGCCTTTGACAGTGACCTCCTATTATGCTCTCAAATAATTATGTTAGGTGTCAACCTATTTCATATAGAAGTTTTTGAGATACCAACTTGCAACGATGTGGAACGCCGACCTCTGGATGAGAACAATAGCTCTCCTCTCTCCCATCCAATAGTCGAGTTAAAACTGGCCTTACTATCTCAATTCTTAAAAATGTAATTGTTACTGTTTTAGCTTACAATTTATGCATGCGAATTTTTTAATAAAAATTCTTCCAAATTGATAAGCTAAAACTAATTTTTTAATAAATTTACAGCTTCTATACAATTAATAGAAGTTATTTTATTTGTGAAAGAATATTATTAAAACACGAAAGGAGTAATATCATAGTTTTGTATTTTTCACATCCCCCCCCCCAAAATGAAATTAACAGAACCCCTAAAGAACATTCAAAACGCCAAAATTGTAAATGTTGCAGGCTCGGTTCGGTTGAGCCTGTTCATGAACGGTACTGGAAAGTGCAAGTTACCGTCCACGCCCCCTAGCACCTAAAACTAACTGCATTCTTAAAGAATTACAACATTCGATGTTCGTTGCCGAATAATTATCTGATTACCACAATTGCTCTCATCTGTGCCATCGACACAATGCTTATAGGAGTCGCATCTGTTTAAAAGTGGTATACATTGTCCATTTGTGCAACGAAACTCTTTTTCTGAACACTGTGGAAAATCTGTAAAAATACGAATTTTAGTAAAATCCTTCTTAATAACATATCTAGCACCCGTTTACTACTTTAATATACGAGGTATATAACTCATCGGAGGGTATTCCCTCCGACACGGTCAACATTTCGCTCTCGTATTTCTCTTAAAATACATATTTTCATACTTAAGGGTGCAAACATATCACAAAAGGTATATCTTTCAGGAACCGTTAAAATATTGAGCCATCTATCTTCATTTACGAAAAATGAATTATCAAACGTGAAACATTATTTTAAAATCCACAAGTGTACATATTTTGAGCCAACGAAATTACATGTTAAACCATCGAATTCCAGTTACAAATATTATATAACGATTGTCACATATTTACTGTCACATGTACGTGTATTGTTAACGGTTACAGAAAGATACTTTGGTTATAGATTATTCATGAAAAGTAGAAATGAACTTGAAAACAATTCTGCCAAATTAAAAAAAAAAGTTATTTTGACTATCGCCTGAATATTCACATTTGCATGTGGATTGGTATAGATGATGTTTCAAGATTTGAAATAAAAAGCATTACTACAATTTTCGTCTGAGGCATCATTACAGTCGGCAATGAAGTCACACATCTGACTAACATGTATGCATATACCGTCATCACAGGTAAATTCATCTATAGAACATTTAGAACCTGTGTATGTGTCTGAAAAAAGACATTTTTTTTGAAAAACATGATTCAATATACAATAGAACCTATACCACAAAAAATACGATATATCGTAAAGTTTTGAGTATTAACATTCCTTTAAATTTCACAATATGAATTTCAGTATGAAAAAGGAAAATAACAATTTCAGAATTGATCTTTTTTAAACAAAGCTATTAAAATGGTCGCAAATGAATAGAAATTCTACAATGCTTTAGGATCTATGAAGTAGACAAATCTGTAATGAGAAAACATATTAATTGCTTAATTTATATTTAAAATGGGGAAAAGTAAAGTAGATACCCAAAACTTTTGAGCAATTCATTTCGTCCATTGCATCGGGACAATCTATAACGCCGTCACAGAGGGTTAGTATTGACATCCATTCATTGTTGTTACAAAGTATTAGGGAACTGTTATCTGGATGCCACCGAACGTCACGATTCGACTGTGACATGGTTTGGACAAGTGTGTGAACTAAAAGAATTATTTGCGGAAAATAGTTATGCTGCTTTAAAAGGGAATTTTGACAAAATCCACAACATAAATACGAGCAAAATCCAAACATTTTTATTACAGGGAATGTTTTTTATTAGTACATATAGAAAAGATTCAATTATGATTTTCAAAAAAATGTATTAGTGAACGAAGAGGAAAAATTTGAAATACTATTAAGGTGCGAGAAATAAGTGTAACTTTTAAAAGAATGGTTTTGCTTTTTTAAACTTTTATTTCAAATTACACATACAAAGAAAGTAAGAGCTGATTTAAACAAAAAATAATCCCCATCAGGATATACTTCGACGTTTTAAAAGCTAACTATGTAAGATCTCTAAAATTAAAAAATATATATAAATATATAAATTATATGTTATAAAATCAAAGGTACATATATTCGACTAGGTCTAGCATCTACTTAACCTGTTCCTAAACAACTTTTTTCGTCAGAAAAATCCACACAGTCTTGCATACCATCGCACAAATATTTCAATGAAATTTTATCACCATTTGAGCAATGGAAGAAATCTTCCGCAGAAGTTTTAATACTATCAACAACAGCTGTATATTTATCTGCATCAAAAAAATAAAACAATGAAATTGACATAGAAATATGTACGAACATATTTATATCTATATAAAATAATCAAGAATTATAGGATTAATCGGCATATTGAAACAATTTTTCAAATCGATAAACGTCAGATATCTTATATTATGATGATGTTATGTTTTTCTGGTTCCTTGTTTACTTTTACAAAATATGGATTATGATCAAATGATGCTGATTTAACTTTTATTGATTTTCATTAACTAGACTTAATCCTATTAGACTAAAATAAAATGATACATAGACAAAGTGTAATAAATTGTTGATTTGTGAAGAAACAACCCTTTTTATGATAAACTTAAGGACAATAAATGCCAATAAAAGAATAATCGCATCAAAATGAGGCTCAACTTTAAGATCAATACCAATATTTGGATCAACTGTTAAATGCTCATATTATGTAAAGTAATGTAAAGTAATAATAATTTATGGTATCACTACTTTGAAAAGTATTCAAAAGGCCAGAATGGCTATCAACTGCATTAAAACTAAGGATTGTTAGTTCAAACCCCAGAAGGGTTAACTTTGGTTCTTTTCTCTTTCTTTTAACATTATTTATGTAACTCTCAGCTCCCTTTTAGAAAGAAAAACGTGTTTGATTTTAATTATATAATTATTATTGGTATCTGTTGTTTTTTGGCTAATTAATGCTAAATTCAATACCAATATGGTAACTGATGTTTTCAAAGTCAAATAAAATTAAAACTACAGGGTAAAGTATTTAATATTTCACAGTATCAATTTTTATAGTTTTGTTGTTTTGTTGTTTTTTTTCAAAAAAGGAAAAAATGTCCTCGTTTCTGCAAACAATTAGGGGTATTTGAATTAGGTTCTCTCTCTAGGTAGGAAAATTGTCAAACAAGTGTTAAAAATTAGGTGCACTAGGGTATAATTTTTATCATTTCTTTCTGAACAATCATTAGCATGAAACTATTTTCATAAGAAGAAAGTTTCCTCATTTCTGAAAAAATGCCATTCTAACAACCAAGCTATATTAGAAAAGTGCCCTTAACTCGTAAAACGTACCGTAAATTCTGTTTAAATCTTGCATACAGATGTCCATATAAGTGTCCTAGGTTGCCATTTTGTCAGTTCTGTTTAATGCCCATAGGGGGGTTCCTACCTTCAAGTACACTTTTATTAAGTTATATTTGAATATGAAATTTATGAGGATAAACAGTGGAGAGTTTTTAATTTTGATCCTTATCTTGATCCGATCTTAACATATAAGAGAAAACGAGGCAAGCGTACTATTGGTCATTTTAATGGAAGACATTAGTGTGCGATGGTCAACTTACGATCAAAGAAGCATGGTTCAGATTTGGCAGTTGATTCTGATGTAAAACACCAAAGGTATCCTTCATTATACGGGTCCCTGCAGTAATTAACAGCTTTGTCAAGTGACCCATCCGGAAAAAGTGGATTTTGCCCAGGATTTCTTTGGAAAACTATATTCCAGTGGTTACACGGTTTGCCAGAACGTGTTTGGTTCCATTGCCCTGTATATGGCAACAATGTCACAAAGCAACGATCTGTTTTGGTGTCTAAAGAAGATATAAGACAATATAGACGTAATTGACACAACTAATTTTTATCTAAATTGCATCACCAAAAAACATCTTTATCATTTTTAATTCCTATATTTCTTGGCTTATTTTGAGATTCTCAATTTGCAAATTCAATAAAAGTTAAATGTCAATTTCAAGAAATGTCTTATTAAGACAGTTTTAAGAAAAGAGAAACGTGAACACCGTGCCATGTTCAACAAAACTGGTCACATTTTTTCTATGACGTTTTGATTATTTCTGTGAAACGAAGTTTAAACTATCCTGGTATGTAAGGACAGGACTTGTTTTTGCTTAAATAACGTTACCTTTATAGTCACAAGTCTCCACTGCTTTGTCTTGATCTGTCGTGTAGCAGAAAAGTGTGCCACTCAACTCAGGATCCCTACAATAATTCTCTGCGTCCTTCACGGTTCCATCCGGGAAAGACGAATTTGAATCTCCGAATTTATGCGGGTGTGGGACTTGACTATCCCAACGCTGACACGTTCTACCAGAAGAGGTGGTGCTCAATCGTCCAGTATATTCATGCGAAATTAAATTATCGATCACTAAATATATAGAATAAGAATTTATGGGTTCAAACGAATTTTTTGCATTTTTCACAAATTATGTAAAAAAAGTCCAAGTAAACGTTAATTTTCTTTGGATAAAATAAAACATTTAAGCCATAAGGAAAACGCTTAAAACGGTATTGAACAAAAAGTTTGAACATACTGCTGCTTTCTTGCCATTCTATTTAAAAATTGTATGGTACTAAAGTTAAAAGAATGCATGTGTACTAGTATTTTTTCTAGTACAGGACAGTTAACTCCACATCTTCTAAATTAAAAAAAAATCATTTGAAGTATAGGTCATATATACCTTAACATTTTCAATAGCAAACAAAACTAATTAAGATGCATTCACATATCAAGATAAAATCAGTGATTGATCATAAACAAAAACTTTATCCGAAAAGTTAACAAAAATCAGTTTGACATTGACCTTTGATCTTTTAACTAGAATGAGCATGACAGGTAGAACTCATCAAGGTGCATCTAAATACACAGTTTGAAGTTTCTTAATGTACTTTGATTTCATAGTATTAAAATGTTGTCATTATTTCTCTAATAACTTAAATATATGCTATTAACTTGAAAATTGGTACGACAGGTAGAACGCACCAAGGTTCATATACATATATATGCAATGTTCGGGTTTCATAGTCAGTTCACTTTGTTTAGATGATAAGTTTACTGTCTTGTTATTACAGGTCCCAGTGACTATGCTATTTGACTATATGACTTGAAATTTGTTGCGGTACGTATATTTCAAGTTTCATAGTCAATGCAGTTTGATTTGATGGGAAGTTTCACGCTATGTTTTTGCAGATCCCTTTAACCTTTTGACCAAACAATTGGTCTGGCGGGTAAAACTCATCAAGGTACGTACACATCTATAATTAAGTTTCCATGAAAAGCTTTATTAGCATTTGCATGGCCATAAAGAAAAACTTAACCAAAAAGGTTAGAAAGATGCGGACACCAACGCCGACGAGGATATGACAATAACTCCGCAGTTTTAAAGAAAAAGGTGGAGCTAAATATAAATAAAATTTGATAGACATTTAGAGGTTATGAAGACTGCATATCAAAGGCAGACCAGACGTTAAAAGCTGGCAACATATCCTAAGGGTAATTATACAGTATTCAAGAATACTGAATGCTACAACCACACAACAATACAAAGTTGGTGCAAAGAGTAGAAGAATAAATATCGTGATTTAAACAAATTACCTTTAGTTGGTTGAGGACATTTCTGCCAGCGTTTTGAAGGATCCACTGTGTAACACCATATATACCCGTTAACGTCTGGGTCACGGCAGTAGTTTTCCTGAAGCATTGATTCTCCATTGGGAAAATAATTACCATACCTATTATATTCATGTGTATATTTATGTGTATGTGGAAAATTACTGTCCCAGCGCTGGCACGCTATTCCATGCTCTGTATAATTCAAAGTTCCATTGTACAGATGCGGCTTAAATGAATCCGACAAAGCTGTAAAGTAGTGACATTGAACGATTTTTACCGGCTGGATCATGAAAATGCACATCAAAGTATTTTACAAGCAACAAAAATATCAAAATTATTAATTTGAAAAAATGTTATAGGACATTGCAATAACTATATTTTAACTATGAGGTCGTGTTCCTTGTGTAATAAAAGTGTATCATCTTTATTTTATCTAGTTTGTCAAGGAATTGCATTTAAAAGCTTTACATCTATGAAAATGGTAAATTATCGCCAACGTTGCGTTCAAATATACACCAGTTTAAAGGACTTACTTAATAGGTCGTCTGTTAAAGGCTCTTCGCATATAAAAAAGTTAGCAAATATATTATTGCAATCCACAGCTTCCCAGGTGTTGTTCTTGTGTGCAGCATGAAAACTCATCCTTGTGCAATTTGCATCCGCATAAGCGCGGTATCGATTCCTGAAATATATTTAAGTGCTGAGCAAGATTTTTTGAAAGAGAATACAAGTTGTCAGATTGTAATACTATTTAGCTGACGTAAACAATATCCTAACCGCAAAACTCTACATTTCTTCACATTTCACAAAACATACTGTCCCATAACGATTTTATGTTCAGTGTAAGATATTCAATGTCACAACAATACTTGCGAATTTCAACCGCATATTGTTAAAAAATAATATTTCACTGTCAAAAAAGTATGTAGTGCCTTCTGGACCAAATGATCAAAGTAATCACCTCACAATGACAGAAATAAGTTTAAAGCTGTTACCTTTACTACCCAAATGACAAATCTAAACACAATGCTTCAACAATATTTAAGTTAACTCAGTAGTTTTCTCAAATTTGTGGTTAGGATTATGGATAAACATGAATACAGAGATCGCAAACTAATTGGATGAAACAACAATGTACTTCAATCCTGACCAATTATCAAGACGATTTCTAAAGTTCATACACAAAAAGACCCCGATTAATTCACAGAAGACATACTCAGCAAAAGAGCGGTATGTCAAAAACTGAAAGGAAGCGACTACCGCAATTTTTATAAACATGTTCGAGTCTGCTATTGTCAAAGCTGCACTAAGATACCGGTACCTAATCATGTTGCAAATAAAAACAAATCATACTGTAGGGAGGACTTAGAAGATCTGCTTTATCTGTAATCAAAGGTCAGGCAATAAATAAAAACACGGAGAAATAGAAACAAAGTCTAGGCAGCAAGCAATATAAAAAGAAAAACACTAAGCATGCCATTAACCCGCATGAATGATGACAACTATGGCGAATAAGGCGTGGGCGGTGCTCGCATTTATGAACAGTCCAATCGAGCCTTCAACATTTTCAATTTTGACGATTTGGGCGTTCTTTAGGGAATTTATTTTTCTATTTCAGTAAACCTGATAATTATTGATTCTCCGCTGACAGCGTAACGAATCGATGATGATATAAGCAACATGTAAAAGATAAAAAATCATCAAGCTATCGCCCTTTCCTATAAAATCTGACCAAAGATAAAAGGTAAATTCACTCAAGAGGTTGTGAATTAGCTAATATAACAGTACCTGGAAGTAAACAAAATCAATCATCTAGAACTTCGGGGAAGTGATTATTTGTCGTTTCCCTAAACCAAAGACAATACAAGTAAAGCTGTCCAAGAAATTGAAGATGTTTTAAATAGGACAAAAGACCAAGTTTTTAACGTACGAAGGTACGACCATGTTTAGACAAATGAGCTGCTTGTTAAACAGCAACGGAATGCAAGAAAATAATCCATGCAACCCTGCTGACATTTTTACCAAAACAGAAGGCTGGTCTAATCAATATAATCAACACATCTTTAACAAGCACAAGTGTTCGCAAATACGCCGATTATCATTGAAAAAATCAACAGGCTTGGTTTGATTGAGCTTGATCAGCGATTAAGCAGAACTCAATATTTACACATAAAATGGTAAAAATTTCGGACACGGAAACATAAACAGCAATGTCCATTTGGCGGTAAACACGATATCTTCGGCGTCACACGTCTGTACTATTCCATGTAAAAAGCGGTATTTGTTCCCGATTTAAGCACTTCGTGTGCCTTGACCGGGAAATTATAAATAAAAAGAAAATTTTAAAGGGCATCAGAGGTTAAAAAGCCTGCCTATGACAGACAAACTTTAAAAAGGTGAACTTAAAATATGCGGCTAAAGGTCATAAGACGATGCGTAATCAGGAATTCAGGAATAAGCACGTATTCAAAATTCATTAGATATGCTGGTGCGCAATCTAAGAAATAGAAGACTTTATGATAGACGGTTATTTCACAGCAGTGTTTTACGGTCTAGTTCTGCTATTAAACGGTACAAAATATAAACTTCGTTGCGAGTAGTTGTCAAATTTTGTTTCGGACTAAAATTTTTCACCTGTAGAAACACTTATCGTATATTTTACTAGCCAGCGGAGAAACATTTGTAATATCTAGCCAGCGGAGAAACATTTGTCTACAAAAGGCACGAGCACTTTATAGTGTTTGTCTGATGACGAAAGAACCCTTTGACTTTCGTGTGTGTCCTTAAGGAGAAACTTAGAGGCAAAGGGATTGAAATGTTAAATAATATATTCAGTTTTGTCTGGCACAGATAGGCAATGAAATGTAAGTCCCTCCCATTCGCTCTAAAATAAATAAACCTTAAAACGATTGTATAATACATTGAAATATAACAGAACTTCTTGCATATTAATTAGAATACATAAAAGGACAAAGATTGGTATGTGTTTTTATCTATTTCTAATGTAATAATGAATCTTTAAAAAAAATCATAGTATCAAACCGTTTCCTATATTTTCATTTTTTAAGGTTTTGCTGTTAATCTGATATCAAAACGTAAAAAAGCATTTCTTAAAATGTTGTATTCATCAGCATTCATTTATACATACCAATCAGTAAATGTTAAAGGTGACCCGTCTTCCCATACATGAAAATTCCAACCCAAAGGATCCTGTACCCGAGTCAAACCTGTCATATAAAAATTACTGACTCTTCAGCCTAGAACAGTACGGGAATGGTAAATCAATTAATCATTAATTATCAATTACTTAATAAAGTTTTATATTACATTGTTTTTTTTCAGTCTGAAATTATTTGATTTTATATTGCTTTTTCAATCTGGAATAGCATGTTACTATTTTCTGAAGTTTATCATAAATTCTTAGATAACTTGCTAAATAATCAAGTTCTACAAATTTGAAATCACTTTTAACGTATAAAAGTTTTACACAGCTTATTTTGTCAAGAAAAACTTGAAGTTAATAATATATACATGTATATATATTCGTATCTATGAATAAAAGACCGGTATGTCATTTTCATAGCTAAGTAAAATTAATATGTATAAAGAAACTTGCCTATATGTGCGTAGAAGACCGGATCAACTGTATAAGTTGTATGTATCTTGGGGAACGCTGTTTCAATATTATAAACACCTAAATCGGTATATCTGAAGTTCCTCAACATGGCTTTGATAAGTTGTTGCTCCTTAGCATAATGAATAGACACGAGCCTGTGCTTTCTTATCCAGCATTCGTCTCCCGCAGCGGTCCACGTAGTATTATAGCGATAAAATATACTGTAACATTTTCCGAACATCTTCGAACATCCTTCAATGTGTGACAAGATAAAACGTACAATCAAGACAGGAATTTAAATTGTCGGAATATTACATATTATCAAAGCTTTAACGATATACTAAACCGTTGTGTATACTTTATAGCTTACGATGATTGCATGCTTTTGGTTTAGCGTATCAAAATTTGATACACGTCGACACCTGTCGATTTGCCAAAAAACTGAAATGATGATGGATAAACCAGCACAATCTAGCTGTTTTTGCATATTAACATTTATTGAAATTCAAACGTACTGATTTGCGCATTAAATTATTGTACTGTTTTGTTGTACTTATAACCTACCTTTGTAGGTCAGGAGTGCTGCCTTCTGCCAATCCGAGTCTTGCATATACAATTCAGATATAAAGAGTTAATTCATGCTAAATGTAAAATAAGCAACAGTCAAGGAAAATAATTAGCTGGATTAACAATATTTATTCTCTAGGTAAATCAATATTTAGTCTACTAGTATTTTGGGCTTCAGAAATTTAATGTACATTTTGTATAAACAAAATAATTCAACGGTTAAAAGCATGTAATAGAAAACCGTTTAACAGAAGTTAATAATTTGAAATTTATTTTGATTGATATTGTTTAGATACGTTGAACGTTGTTTTGAATAATATGTTTACAATTATTGAATGATATTCTTATATGTTCTTATCATGTTTTTATTATATTGAAAGCTCTACTATTTTACATGTTTCAACACATTTAAATCATTGTTTATAAAACTGTTAAATCTTACCCCAATATATATTCATATCATTTCTATACAGCTCGTAAACAGCTGAAAAATAAGTAAGAATTTATATGAGATATGTCATATTCTATGCATACCCAAACATTTTTATGATAAGAATAAAATTACGGTACTTAAAGCAACTACGTCTTAATTTTTCATCTCACGGTTTTATGTTATAATCAATGGACCCTTTTTTGTTCTGTTATGTAACTTATGAACATAAAATTATGTAACTTCAAGGGCATGTTTTATTCCAAATAGTGCACAATTTTTAATGCACGTGGATTACTAAGATATCAAACTAGCTGTTATAGCACTGATGTATGACAGCTGATACATCAAAGACAGACCATCGCATCATGCGAAAACTAGCCAACTCAAAAAGTAATCAGTGACAGGTAAGATAGTGATGTCATTTACTTAACATTTGCATGGCTCAGGTCTTGGAAGTTGTATGTTTTATAAACATTTAGCGTGAATAACAAAAAATACCTTGAAAGTTAGTGCCATAAGAATCTAACAAATGACTTAACGAATTCTCTGCAAGTACGCTATAGGCTGCAATAAATCCTTCTTTAGCTGAAAGACGCTTAAAACTGTCTGTGTCTTGACCTTCCGTAAAGTAAATGTCCAGTGTCTCAGAGTATGAATACAGATACTTGGGTACCGTGTGCAGATTACAGTACGAAGTTTCATGTGAAAAACGGTCTTTGATCATTAACAATGAACCTAAATAGCAAATAATTAAGTTAGCCTTATTGCCGGGTACCGTCTCTTTTCATATGTTAAAATCATATTTCAAAATTAAAATTGCCATTGCCGAACTACCAATGTCATATATTACTGAAAGGAAAGTGATTCAGACACGCTTTGTAAAATAACCTGCGATACATCAATGTCAGTGACTTAGTCACAAATGCACATTTACTCTGAAATACATTTTATCTGTACCTTTAAGTTACTTTTACCACGATTTACGTTGTTTTCCTTGTTTCTAATTTAGATTCGCACAATTTTGCATTACTTTTACACAATTTATGCGTAATTTTCTAATCCCTGTGTTACGAGATATACAAGCACTGCGAGTCCTTTTATCAGTTTTTATATGGACCAGTCAATCAAGATTATTATTTGCATTTTCCTTTACTTGTAATGTTAACCGTGTTGAAGAAGCTTAAAATGTGTAGGGAAAAAGATTCATTTCAAGTTACTAATTTAAAATTCTTTTTAAATTGTCATCAAAAACTCCATACCTGTATCGCATCTGACATAAAAATAAATCATTTCAAGACGTAAAGAAAACCTCCGAACGTTTATTCTCCACCTCTCTGACGAAATTGGAAATGGAAAGTTCAGTTGAGATCCAGACATTAAGACCATCGCTGGTAAACTGCAAGTATGCACTACCTCATTTGACAGATCATTATTGAAAGAGAAACACGAAGGTGCATCTGTAAATAATGTACACATACGACTTATTGAAATAAAGCATAAAAAGTTTTATGAAAGTATATATGTAAAATGATAAGAATGAAACATGGAAACATGTATATAATGTTGATGATGGTTTTGTCAATTTTCCATTTACACACAATAATCATAGGAACCAATAATAAGTGATCCAAGTTTAAATAAAATACTTTGATTTATAAAAATTATCATCAATTAAAGAAAGTCAAGTATAGTGTTTTCCCATTAAACTTATTGCCAAATCGCTCATCTGACTTAAAACAACACACAAAAGCTGAAACTGAAAATGACAAATTTTAGAGAATCAAATTGCAAGCAAATTTTACCTTAAATACAGACCCACAACCATCAAGCAGTATTATATTGTCGATTTTACCTGAAAACTTTACCAATGCACTGAAACCTGTTCCTCGGGACACTACTCTTGACGTTGGCAAACATGTTGTAAATGTAAGCGATAAGTAACTAGTATCGCTTTGAATCATAAAAACGACATTATTAAATTGCTGATCGATTTTCAAGCCTTCCTCTTTTATGAAAGTTTTACCAAGAACAAGATTGTCCTGGTAACACGCACCAGCTATCTTTGGTTCTGATACCATCTGAAATATGAAAACTTGCTCGGTTTCCTAGGTACTGCTTATTTTTCTTGTGAGCCATTTACACGACAGGCAACTGTCGCTCAATTCAAAATTGTGCTGTACGGAAAAACGAGCGAACGGCATTTCCGAGGGGAAGGCCGATTTAAACGGCTAAATGAAAGTATTGTTTATGTTTTTGTCTTCTAAATAATTTAATTTGTATTTTTTATTCAAAATTGAGCAATGTAGTTCCTTGTATGATTGTTTTAGGTTTCCAATGCTCTAAACTTGACAAAAAGAGAATTATATTAAACTCGGCAGAACTTTCCCCCCTGACGAATTGAACGGCGATTTGTTGAATATTGAACTTTCAACCAAGGGAACGCTCTTAACTTCGGATTTTCTTGAAAAAGTGTTGGAACTTGACCTGCACGTTCCTAATGCATATTCATATTTTGAATTTGAGTTGAATGTGTACAACTGTTGGGGAGATAATGAACGGAAACTGAAAATTTCTCTTTTTTAAGTTAAATGGCCTAACTCTGTCAAATCATCAAACCATGACCAAATTTGAACCTGATCTGTGCATTCCCTTGACGTATACATATGTCGAAATTGAGTTGAGTGTGTACATGTGTTTTATCAAAAACCAGTGATTTCATTTCCATTCACCCAATTCTGTCTTCCCGAACGAGTAATTTCCCATACTGATAACCCGTTTAAATCGGCCTTCCGCCGAATCTCGGAAATGCCGTTCGCTCGTTTTTCCGTACACCACAATTATGAAGTGGACGACAGTTTGCCATGCGTGAGTTACCATTGTTTCAGTACAAACAAAAATGATAATTAAATGTCGTGTTACAAATCTCGAATTTTACATAGCAATTTCTATTATACCCCCATACATTTGTATCAGATTATACCAGAGTTATCGTTTAATATAGACCAAGGCTCGCTTTTTTATTCTCTGGAAGGCTATAGCTTTTTTTTATTATCTTTTCTTTTATTTGTTTTTATTTTATTAATTATCTTTGTTTTATGACGACATAAGTATGACTCATTTGATCACATGATATAATAAAGCCTACACAAAACGAAGCCCGCAGCGAAATCATCATATGACTGGCACTTTTTATATCAGACATGAAATATGAAAAAACGCGATGGTCAAACAACATTGGAGACAAGTGCCATACTATTAATTTGATCAACTAACGAAAACATGTTATAGACGATATAAGGTAAAGTGATACTTATTCAAATATATTGTTTTACAAATTATTAGCATATAGTCATTTTTTAACAAACGCATGGAGAAAAAAATCTAAACTAGATATGAAATATGACTGAATGATTAAATGTAAATAATTTTCGGCATTATTTGCAAATTAAAACAGTCAATTTCCCCTGTCGTGTGGATCTCAAGATGGTTTTTCGTCCAGACAATAACGTGTAGTTTCAAACAAAAAAATATATATTAATACTTTTACCTCTAATTCTGTAAATGATACATGACTAAACACAAGCTGGATATATTTATTTTCATTTTG